CTATGGAGTGATTTTGTATGCGTGGCCTTTGACAGAAGTGACAAGTTTCTTTCCCTTTCCAGTGTATATATGTTCAGATGTTTAATTGGGGATGTAGCATACACAGTGGCAGATTTGGGACCGCAGTGACTGCACAGTACTTATAGGGCAAAGCTGTGATCAAGGTTTCCTCCTTGGCCTGCGTGACCCGCACATATGATGTAGGCATTATCTGGTTGAGTTGGGGTCATTGTGCATGCTTCAGTAAATCCCACTGATATAAGAACTCACCAGCACACCACTGGACAGCAAACATCTGTCTGTATGTAAACACACTATAATCAGATTAAAGCAGTCCCTGACATTACATGTACAGAGTACATGTATTCTGTTGACTGAGAAGATATTCACAAATTTACTAATTCATCTCGAAATTTCTTTCCAAGTTTTTGTGCTCAACTTGAAGGCACAGAGGTAAGTACATGTACAAGTATACATGTAGAAATGAAGTTTTCCTATAAGTTTGTATAGGTCTGTGTAAGTGACACGTACGTGTACAATAACTGCTGACTTCATAAAGCCAACAATGTGGTGCACAGCCATGCAACGGGGAAACGGACCTGAATATAAGGAGACTCTGAACTGGGTACAAAGGACTCTAGACTGTTTTCAAATTTACAATACTTAACAGGATACAATGTACATGGATAGTGTGCACTGTATCAATATGTAAAATCATATTGAAATCGGGAACCCTAACAGTCCCTAATCCTCCAATTTCAATAGAACTTTACATACACCCTAAGGGGTTAGGGTTAACCCTGACAGTAACAGTCCCAAATCCTCCAATTTCAACAGCACTTTACATACACCCTAAGGGGTTAGGGTTAACCCTAACAGTAACAGTCCCAAATCCTCCAATTTCAATAGAACTTTACATACACCCTAAGGGGTTAGGGTTAAAGGCAAAAGGGGGTTTCTGCATGTGACAGTAGCAGCTCCATGTACATCTACATGTAGGCCATACATGTACATTATGTCCTGGATTGTGGGACAGAACCTTGTTGTCTTTTACACCCCTGAGGTCTGGTGTGACTAGGGTAAATTTCCAGGAAGAGAGGCACCTACATGACCTAGGGGTGAATCATTTTTGCCGGGAGAGAACTGAAGCTGGCAAACTGCAGCTTGTACAAGTGGTATAAATACACCTAGGATAAATTTCCATGTACATGCACATCCATGTACAGGTATGGCAGTACCCTATGCTGTATACATGTAGGTACTTATCACCCGTTCCTGTTTGAGTTGAATGCACTGCAGAAGTACATGTACACTACATGTACCTACATGTGTGTTAATTTGAAGCGCCACGTTGTGCACACATTTAGACCCTCTCCGTGTTCTGTATAGCAGAGATTTACTACAAATTTATAATTCAAAGTACAAATGAAAAAAGTGTACAATTTTGCTAAAGAAAGATCCAACACGGGCGATTCTCAATAGTGTGCCACCAAGAGTTTGCAACATGTTGGCCAATCATAACGCGGGAAATTTGTCGACCATTTCCAAACGCGCATCGGGGTCGACAAATTTCACGCACTGTGATTCCCAACATGTTGCAAACTCTTGGTGGCGCACTATTGTGAAACGGCTGTATCAAAACAACAAAGAAAAAGACTGATGACATACACTGTACATGTATGCTTGTGCATTAAAGGTGTTTGGGTACTAGTATTTGCAAATTTTGTGACTTGTTGAGGCAGTTATCACTATGGCAACCAAGTCCAAGGAAGATCTGCAATCTGCGGCCAGAAAGCGTATCAGCTTGACTGTCATCGCTGGCATCGCAGCCGTCTACATTGCATGGATCTACGCCCCCATTCAGGTTCCACTGAAGCCCAGTCTGGTCGACCGACTGGTCTTCACACTGCGTTGGCTGGCACTGTCGGTCATACCAATTATCATTGGAATAAGGGTAAGTTTTATGGGCTATAGGTGTATAGCAGTTTAGCGAACGTTGACTGGTGCATCAGCTAGGACATCCACCCTACAGATGCCTATTAAACACACTGAGCAGTAACATGTCTGGGAGGACCGGTCTGGGGCATCTCGCCCCTCCCCAACAAATTTTGTTTTTCCCTATTAGATAAAAACCTGAAACCCACAGAAAATGGACCATGAATAAAAGCAAGGATGCCAAGATTGTAAAGGCTTTTGATTGTTTTCCCCCAACATCATTTTGAATAAGCCCAATGTCGCATTTGCTTCTGAATTCCCCCCCCCCCTGACACCAAAGGCTGGACACACCGCTGACACCAAGTCCAACCTGAAGGCCGTGCATGCGCAGTGTTTCCTCTTTCAAGGAGGGGGGAGGAGGGAAGGGGCAGGTGCACCAAGCTGATGTCCCTACCCACCCAGCCAGGTGCCCACTCCCATTTGGAACTTTGAAATGTACACAACCTAGGTACCAGCTGTACTTTGTCAGCTTTCGGTTCTCCCCTAACAAAACTTGTGCACCTCCAGGTGCCTCTCTCCCTGGAAATCTACCCTAATTAGGCAAAGAATCCTCAGGGGTGTAAAAGAAATCAAAGTGATGTCCCACAATCCAGGAGTGCACTCCACTCCAGTGGGCAGAAATTACGGAACAGTATATGAAAAATGGAAAACGGCTGAGTCAAATAATTCACTATTTGAATATTCAACTTTCAATTTGATAGAATATTCAAATATTAGGATGTTCCGACTGGCAGATTGTGGAACAAACTATATATCAGTTGCAATAACAAACACAATTGTACATTATGATCACTGTAATAATGGTAGCTTCCCATCTAGGCGTATTTCCAGCAACATACAATTTAGTAAGATTAAAGAGAAAAATAATAATTGCTCTGTTATAGATTTCTGCTCCTTTCATATTGTTTAATGAATAGTTTACTTTTTACATTGTTGTAGGATTCCTGCTAACTCACAACAACGTCAGTATCGGTATGCGTACAGAATAGTAACCAAAGGGGCTTAATTCCGTGACCAATAAGGAGAGATAATCAGAGCAAGTTCTTCTTTTGAGTGTGTTAACAATTTTGTACAGATCACAAAGAGGCTTCATTCTCTATCTTTTTTTTCCATTTAGCTTGTCGGAAATGTACGATTTGACAACATCGATAAAGCTGGGGTTGTGACAACCACACCATATGCTGAAGAGCTTGTTCGTCTGAGACAGCGTGCTCTCCAGAACACCTTGGAGCAAACCGCACTCCATGTACCCATCATGCTCATCTTCAGTACATATCTGGATTTGCCCTACCTAAAACTGGTCCCCATCATCATCTGTCTATTTGTCTTTGGCCGGATCATTTACTACATTGGCTACGTATTCACTGGTGACCAATTCAACCGTGGATATGGTTTCGCACTGACCTTCTTTTCCAGTATGATCCCACTGGTCTACTGTCTCTATCGCTTGGTCATGGGCGGGGCTAACTACGGGCTATCTGGGGCTTAGAATTTGTCACGTCCAAAGTTAGACATGTACATGTGTACATGTATGAATGCCAAAGATTAGTTGAATGCCATCGGTATTTTGGGCCAGACATGGCCAGGGGCGAGACTGGAGGAAGACTGCTCACATGTATTCACGATATGATAAGCAGTGGGTCTAATGGCCATACAGCAGAGTATGGACTATAATACTAGCATTACTGCTTGCCTGAAGGCACCGCCTTACACATCCATTTCTTGTATTCTATATCAAGTTTTAGGTAAAAAACTAATGGTAATCTCAGTTTCCAGAAATTAAAAGGCGTTTTACCTTAGCACTTAAAAGTTTCTAAGTGTCCACTAACCAGATCGAGCTTGCAGTTAACCAGGCCCATATATAATAATTACCCCTCACCTTCCTAGGAAAAAAAATTACCTGGACAGGCTTGAGTAAACCTTTCGTACATTGACTGTCATTTGATCTAAATAACAAAACACGTCCTCTGGGAGGGTGCTCCACGCAGGCCCTCTATACAAGTAACTACATGTACATGTAGACTGTCAAAAACGTTTGACAGTCAGATTCTTTGGCCGTCAAACATGGTTGTCACATCTTTTGCTTGTCAAACCCACCCATTTAAAAACTTTGGCTGTTAAATACAAACTATGTAAAAAATTGCAAGTCTGGCTACATTCTTTCTCGAGAGAGTCAAAGGAGGAGTCAATGTTCTTTAAACTCCAGTTTCTAGGACTAGAAGAAAACACATGTACATTGTACATCTACACATGCTCAAAATTTAGGCTTTTCAGGATTCAGGACTGTTAAGGTTGACGTACCTATAATCCCCCAGGGTGTGTGAAGATATGAAATTTGCAGCTTTGTGTGCAAATTTCTAGTCAAGTATGCTATTCTGGCATGTACTTGATTGAACTTTTCTGTTCCATGCCTCTGTTATTTTAATTTCTTTTGAAATTCCCTGGTAGGTACATGTACAGCCAGGGGGTCAAGGTTCCCTCACTGACCTGCAGGTAGAGGCTTTGTCTCTAGTCTAAGGTCTTGTATTTATTGACAATCCTGCCCAGAGGATAAGCATAATTGTACACAGCAGTGGCAAACAGCACACTTTGTTACTTGTGTATACATGTAGGGTACCAGTACATGCTAAAGTCCACTAGAAGTTGGAGACAGTAATAGTCAGGTGTCCCAGGAGCACTGAGTTCTAATGCTATCAATTTTAAACCATTAAGGTAAGCTACACTAATGCTCTTTCCACATGCATTTATGCATGTTAAAACTGTTAATGATTATGTACATGTAATAGTGGAACTTGGGAAATATTCAGCCATTCGACTGCGAATCAGCAAATTTGGGAATTTCAACTGAACATAAGACTGTACAGTATGCATGGTTTGCTTTACAAAGGAATTGTCAGAGATTTCTAGCCACACAGGCCTGTTTCTTGCTTGGGGGGGAAGGGACACTCTAAAAAATTAAAAATAAAATACAAAGAAACTAGAAAAAGACAAATTAAATCACAGCAATGTAAACTGCATTGCTGACTGAGCCTTAAACAGATTATGACAATTTCTACCATACTACTAGGCTTTATTCATTTTCACAAAGATTTCCCCAATTTTGGTAGCAAAGAACTGATTAAAACAATTTAAAGAGAACAATAAGGATTATTGTAAATGATTTTTCTCTTGCTGTCTGATTATGCAATTGTTGTATGTACATGTACTTCCAGGTTTCAAACTCTTAAAAACAGTAATTGCTATGGCGATTAAGACCAAGGAAGACCTCCAGTTTTTGGTCAGAAAACGTGCCGCAATCTGCCTGTGCTTTGGTATCTCAATGACCTACATTGCATGGGCTTACATCCCTATTGTGGTCCCAGTAAACCCTGGCCTAGTCGACCGATTGATTTTCACGCTGCGTTGGCTGGTACTCTCAGTTCTACCAATTATCATTGGAATCCAGGTAAGTTTTTTGGTTAAACACCAGAAAAGACATACATTTCACACCCTGTAGATGCATGACACACTGAATCCAACCTTAAGGTACATGTACATGCGCAATGTTCCCTCTTTTAAGTTCTATGAGGGGGGGTGGTGGTGACGGGCACATGCACCAACTTGCAGAGTAGTCGACTCGAGTCACTTGACTTGGACTCGAGTTGTGACTTGTGACTTGACTTGTAACTATCAGTACTTGACTTGTAACTATCAGTTTTTGACCTGTGACCTAACATGGACTTGCACATTATGACTTGTAACCACCGCATGTCAGAAAACTATTCGATCGAATCCATTACAGTTTTAAACTCGGCCTCTCAACTTGCACCTTGTGTTCTTAAGATAATCATCTGAAGACTTTATTCGGCTTATGACTTCACTTGGCTGTTGTACCCGGTAGTCTTGCACATTTGTTCAGCAGTGCTTACATTTTTCATTGTTTTTCCCCCAACTTCAAGTTTCATTTGAGCCTTATATTGAATATATCAATTCATGACGCCACTCAACCTAGAACTGAAAATAAAATAGCATCCCAACGTTGCAGGCTGAAAATTTCCACATCAAATACCACGTTTAGATGGTTGTAACATGCCTTCAAGACACGTTAATTGATTATTTTTACAACAACCACCCGTAATCATATATTTGTGGAGCATTCATCGTGTAAATTTCAAGATTTAAGCCTCTGTGATCTTTAGAAAATTGGAGAAGTACCGTCTGCCAGCTTCACAGTATAAAGCGAGCGGAGACATCATACATCATGACCATACTATGTCCGACACGGCAAATATTGAAAATGGCTCAAATGTTTCGGTTATCTGCACTTATCGCAAGTTCTTAACTACTGTATGCCCCAGACTATTGAAGTATTTGTGAGCACTTAACTCAAACCGTCTTTAAAATATGTTGAACACGATGTTAGCTGATGTTTCAGTTCGAAAACGTCTTTCGTAAATGTAAAGCATGACAGGCTGAAGGTTATCTGCAAATCATAACTCAAGTGATATGAATTATGCATATCCTACCACTATTACCATAGTCTGTTGCCGCAGGTGGTCAAACAAATATATATTCCTGTGTGGTTCGTGTTGCGGATCACGGAATAACTGTGGAAAGTCTTGGAACCAAGACTAGGCCGTGTCTTGAAATCATACATAGCACAACCCTGTACATGGACAAAAAGTCTTTTGACTTCACTGACTTGCTTGTGCTTGGACCAAATTGACTTGTGACTTGACTTAGACTTACTGATGTCCGTACCCATCCAGATGGCCCCTCCCATTTAAAACTTTGAAATGTACACAACCTAGGTACCAGCTGTACTTTGTCAGCTTTCGGTTCTCCCCTAGCAAAACTTGTGCACCTCCAGGTGCCTCTCTCCTGGAAATCTACCCTAATTAGGCAAAGAATCCTCAGGGGTGTAAAAGAAATCAAAGTGATGTCCCACAATCCAGGAGTGGGCAAAATGGTACGGTGTTAAAAAAAATGTATAATGATGCGTAACAACATTTTGACTGACACCAGCTATTATTCAACAACTTTAGCACTGGTACATGTACATTGTATGCTAACAGAATGGTGACCAAAAGGGCTTAATTCTGTGACCAATAAGGAGAGATAATCAGAGCAAGTTCTTCTTTTGAGTGTGTTAACAATTTTGTACAGATCACAAAGAGGCTTCATTCTCTATCTTTTTTTTCCATTTAGCTTGTCGGAAATGTACGATTTGACAACATCGATAAAGCTGGGGTTGTGACAACCACACCATATGCTGAAGAGCTTGTTCGTCTGAGACAGCGTGCTCTCCAGAACACCTTGGAGCAAACCGCACTCCATGTACCCATCATGCTCATCTTCAGTACATATCTGGATTTGCCCTACCTAAAACTGGTCCCCATCATCATCTGTCTATTTGTCTTTGGCCGGATCATTTACTACATTGGTTACGTATTCACTGGTGACCAATTCAACCGTGCATATGGTTTTGCACTGACCTTCTTTTCCAGTATGATCCCACTGGTCTACTGTGTCTATCGATTGATTATTGGTGGGGCTAATTATGGGCTATCTGAGGCTTAGGCTGCATCCGAATCTCTAGTCTAGAGCTACGTGTAGGTCTTGGTCTTCCCTCCATTGGAAATGCGTGGAGACGCGTAGACAATAGACCTAGCCGTAGCTCTGGAAGCCCGTTTCGGACACGGCCCTTGAATTGGCCATGACCGGAAAGTTTGTGACGGAATGAAAGCCAAGGATTGGTTGATTGCCAGTGGCGTTCATATGCATTTACACCCAGACTCTCAATAAAAGAAGAAAGTGACAAATATGCATGTACATGTATTACATAACACTGCCAGTGCTTCTGGCCGTAGCTGTACAATTGTGTTCCTTACTGATCTGTCGACATGTCACTATAAGAAACCTTTGCCAGGTGAGACAAGAGGAAAACGAAATATCCATGAAATAATAAGCAGTGGCCCCACAGCAGTGTAGGCTCTATGACAAACGTTTTCCTGAAGGTACCCCTTGCATCCATTTCTTGTATTCTATATCAACTTTTATATGTAAAACACTAACGGGAAATTCAGGATTTTCAAAGACATTGTTTGAAAATCCTTCAATCCAAAAATTAGGAAATCAGGAAAAATGCTGATAAATCTCATCCCTGATACTGGTATGCTTGAAGACAAGTTGTCAATCCTACCTGTACAAGATGATATCAAATCAAATGCTGGTTGCCAGAAACTATGCATTTTATGACACCTTAATAAAAGCTTAATATGGCTCCAAAAATGCTAATTTTGAAACCAAAATGCACAAATGACTTGCATCACAGTGTGCATTCCTTATTTTTTTAGCTTCAACTTGTCTTAAGATGGTGTACCCACGCTGTAATTTGTCACTTTTAAAAACAAAAGCAACAGCCATTGTGTATTTTGTTAAAATAAATAAACCCAAAAATGATGTCAACATCTTTCAAACAATTCAAATATTTCTTTAGAAGTAGGCCTATTTTTTTATGATGCTTTTAGTTTTGCAGTAAATAAAACAAATATCAGTTTTTAAATTCTAAGCATCAACCATGCCTTCCACACATGAAGAGAACAATTTCTTTTGTAATAAGAAAAGTCAGACCAGTATTGTCACAGTTGGGACAGCAAGCTTTTAGAGGTCAAATACAGACGCCCTGCGTATGACGTCACATTAGAGGGCATTTCTTTCTTCTAGGATAGGCTCGAGTAAACCTTTTGTATAGTCATTGTCATTAAATCTAAATAACCAAACTTGTGCTCTGGGAGGGCGCTCCAGGCAGGCCCTCTATACAAGTAACTTGACCGTCAAAATTTTCCAAGATTCTTTGACCGTCAAATATGGTCATCACATCTGTTGCTTGTCAAACCCTTCCATTTAAATACTTTGGCTCTTAGTATGTCAAAAAATGAAACACTGGCTATGTTCTTTCTTGACAGGGTCAAAAAGGGAAGGGATTCAACGCGCCTTAAACTCTTGTTTCGAGGACTAGTAGAAGAAAACACACCTACATGTGCACATGTTCTGTGTCAAAATTTTATGTTCTTCAAACTTCCTGTGTTTAACCCTCACTCCCTTGGGCTACTTAAAAATTAGGTTTTTCAGGATTAAGTGCCGTTAGGGTTGAGCTACATGTTCCAATAACACCCCCAGGGTGTGTGCAGAAATGAAATTTGCTATTTTGGCACGTACTTGAACTTTTCTGTTCCATGCCTCTGTTATTTTAATTTCTTTTGAAAGTCCCTGGTACAGCCAGGCTATCAATGTTCCCTCACAGGCCTGCAGGTAGAGGCTTTGTCTCTGGTTTGGGGTCAAGCATTCTTTGACAATCCTGCCCAGAGGATAAGCATAATTGTACACAGCAGTGGCAAACAGCACGCTTTGTTACTTGTGTATACATGTAGGGTACCTGTACATGCTAAAGTCCACTAGAAGTTGGAGACAGTGACAGTCAGGTGTCCCAGGAGCACTGAGTTCTAATGCTACCAATTTTGTACCATTAAGGTAAGCACCCTAGCTAGTGAGTGCTCTTTCAACATGTAAGCGTTTATACAGTTGCATGTATGCCATGTACGTACTGGCACATGTGCATGTAGACAGCTAATGTAGTTTAATAAGCCTTGGGCGAGTTACCTTTCAATAAAATTTGGTACACCGAGTTCTTTAAATTCACATGAACATAACGATTTGAATTCTCCATACTTAAGACACTGTTGCTATACCGCGTGATTCGGGGCAAACTTTTGCTTATTTGCATAAGAGACGCCTTGCAACAATACACTGATGTCCAAGGATAAGAAGGGCACAAAGGAACCAGTCTATTCCAGCGATGAAGGTTGCTATGCAAAAGCTTGCCCCAAATCACAAGGTATACCGGTAGCAACATTGTCTTTAGTATGGAGAATTCAAATCGTTATTTTAATGTGCAATCAAATCACTTGGTGTACCAGATTTTATTGTAATTTAACTCGCAAAAGGCTTATTTGGGACACAAACATGCACATGTTCATGTTGCCATGCAGCTGGGAAAAGCAAATTTGGAAATTTCAACTGACACAAGTATATCCAGCAGGAAATGAGACCGAGGGGTCCCCCCAACATGTCCAATCCCTATACATGTACACACTCCAGACCATTGTTACCTAACACATCCCCCCCCTCGATGTCTGAAGAGAATTCCTCAGATTCCAGTGAAACAATGACCAACACAAAGCAGGGGGGGGGGTTCTCTATCTCCTATCTTGCTTCATATGGACACAAGACCATGCAGTGTTTATGGCATGCATTAGTTTCATGTACCCGACCGTAGTTCTGGGACCGTTTCTTTTTTTCGGAGTGGAGACACTCTAAAAATTGCACATGAAATCACAGTAAAGAAAACTTCAGTTACATGTAGCACGCTGACTGAGCGTTGAACAGATTTCATTGCTTTCTACGTAGACCTTGTCAAATTTTGTATAGAATTACCAAAATGTAGTTTTAGAATAAACAATCAATAACTATTATTCCATCACTATGACATTCTCTTGCTGTCTAATACTGCAATATTGTGCTTCCAGGTTTCATAACTCATAAAAAAACCCCAGTTGTTACCATGGCAATCAAGACTAAGGAAGGCCTCCAGTTTTTCGTCAAGAAGCATGTTGCTATCAGCCTCTGTTTTGGTATCTCAGTGACCTACATTGCATGGGTTTACGTCCCTATTGTGGTCCCAGTAAACCCTGGCTTACTTGACCGACTGACCTTCACACTGCGTTGGCTGGTGCTGTCTATCATACCAATTTTCATTGGAATCCAGGTAAGTTTTTGGGAGACACAGTTTTGTGATATCAAATCATATGGATCCAGTGAAAAAAAAGGATTTGTTTTTTCCCAACAAATTAGAACAATTTTTATATGTACCCTCTGTCCTTAACGAATTTAAGAGATGATCACAGATTGATGATTACACGTACATGTACACCAATCTGCAATCAGTGGCCAAATCCATAAGAACCATATCTGTTTTCAAGACCACGGCAGTTTATAAGTTCTTTATTGATTTTTACTCAGCTTGTCGCCAATACTCGATTCAGCAACATCGATAAAGCTGGTGCAGTGACAACCACACCATACGCCGAAGAGCTCATTCGTCTGAAACAGCGTGCCCTCCAAAACACCCTGGAGCAAACGGCATTGCACGTACCCCTCATGCTCATCCTAAGCACCTACCTGGATTCACACTACCTCAAGCTGGTCCCCATCCTCATCTGTCTCTTTGTCTTTGCTCGGATCACCTTCTACATTGGTTACCTCGCAACTGGTGACCAACTCAACCGAGCATTTGGTTTTGCACTGACCATACTTTCCAATATCATACCGTTTGGATACTGCCTGTATTGCTTGGTTATGGGCGGGGCTAATTATGAGCTACCCATACGTACGGCTTAAGTTAAAATTAGCCTGGGGAATACCGTCAATTCATCAATGAAGATTGATAATTTATATCCTACCATATAAAACATGTAAACTGCAACCTACATCAAAGATTGCATAACACTAGCTGTCTGTAGGCCATTTTGTCATACCGACAGTGCATAGTTTATATGCATGCGGTTAAAAATGTTCGTGAAGATCAAAATTGTATCTCCTGCTATAACCATGTTCCTGTTTCCTTGGTATTGGAATGTGCAGAACTAGAAAGGCAAAACACCATTTGTACATTTGTGACGATCAGACCTTACTGTACTGCGTTTAAGCTGTTGCAGAAACTGATTTAATGGCCCAGCAAACAGGGGTAATAATTACGCAGCGCTTTGAGACCTTTGTGCATAAATCTGTACCTACATGTACATGTATAAACAAGCACCACAGCGCGACATTTTTAGACAAAATACCAATGTTGTAGTTTGACACATACATGTACTAAGGAAAAATAACAATTTTGAGTCTCCAAATCTGATCATTGGATACTTTGGCCGTCAAAATCTTTTGCCTGTCAAATCATTTTGCCTGTCAATTCTTTTGGCTGTCAAATTCTTTTGTCGTCAAAACTACAAAGGACTGTATTGAGTATTTCTTTAGGGGCTGTGCACGGTTTGGTTTACAGTTACAGTGCTAACCTTGTATGGGTCTCTGTGCAGCGTGGTATGTACCATGAAGTCTCACCGAAGCAATATCGCTGCTCTGCTGTGTAGCGACGATCACCAGCTCATTACGACTACTTGTCCAAGTGAAAGATGGAAGCTGTCCCTCAAGCCTCTCAATGCGACCATCACCTTCTAGAAACACATCACGAATCTATCCAGCAAACAACAAAATAACAGTTGACAGTTGATATACAAAGCACTACAAGGTAATTGGAGGGCTCTCATTTCTTTCTGATCGTCTGACTGTCTTAGTCTTTTTGCTGTCAAATCCTTTCCCAATTAACAATTTAACTGTCAGGTAACAATTCCGGAGAGTGCTTTGATCTTAGTTAAAAGCACTATATAAAACCTGTTCTTATCATTTCATTGTAACACTTATATCCAACAACTGCTCAAAAACTATTCCCTAAGACCAGGGCAAATGGCATCCAAATATTACGAAACTCATTTTCACAACTAACTGTTCCAAGCAAAAGTTTCTAGTATTCACAATTCTTCTAATTATTCTTCTGAAGGGTGTTCTCAAGTATGAGATTTTGAAACCGTTTCCTATGAATTCACAGAATTCTGCTTCATATAAGAACAACTCCCTTACTAACTCCATATAACTCCATAACTCCTGAAATTCTACTAATCCAAGCTTGATACCACATGGCTCAGTTAAAAAAGTACAAGAAAACGTCACTTACCTCCACAAAGTCAGGCTCAAAACCAAGAGGTGGAGGCTCAATAGCAAAGGTGTCCATGTTTAAGATGATTCGTCGAGCCGGATCAACAGTGATCAATATATAGCAGTAAACATCGCCAAGCGGTGGATTACCCAAAGTCAGGGGGAGTCGAATGTACTCTCGACCCCTTGTCAGATGCTGTCTGCAGTCTGGATAGAAAAAAGACATAGACAAGGACACTGAATTTCCAGTTGACGTGATTTTAACAGACATGTATTAAACTCCAGTCTGGAAATTAGTTGTAATAAAAGTGGAATTGTTGGGTGCAATTGGTCAATTTGTGTGATCATTCAATCTTTTGATCGATCTGATTGCGTGATTTGTTAGTAATTCCGCTATCAGCTGATCACCTTTTCTTTCTCATGCATGGTTGTAAAAGACCGCTTCAAGAAAAGGCAGGGCAATAAGAGATCTCATACAAGATCAACCAATTGTGCACAGCAATCGGCCAATTCAACTGATGACGCTTAACACGATCACAGACCAATCTTTGGATAAGGTACACTGGGACATTCTATAAGAACAAACAAAGCAGACAAAAAGAACAAACAATGGCTCATTTTGTCTTTTGGGTACAAAAAGGAGGGAAAGCACTAGTTAAAGGGTCTAAAAACAATTACCTCTTTCTGGGATGTTCTTTGGCGGGAGCTGGGATGCCAAAGAAAAGAGATGGAATCCACCTCCTTGGATGATGTCATCGCTTCTGAATGCTACTTGCACTTCGTTACTATCAGACGTCCAGGTGAAAGGATGCAGGTTGCCACAGAAACGATCCATCCGTCTGGTTGTCAGGTCTGTCAACTACAACAAAGAGCAAATTTGATTGTAAACAATCTGATCATAAAAACCTGGCACGACCAGAAGTATAGTATGTCACTAAACGTTTTGCAAGTTAAATTTGAATAAACTCATATAAATAACATCGTCATATAAATAACGATTTAAGGGCAAAACCTGTGATTAAAATAGAGCATGCTTTAAGCACAGTTCGTTTAATAATAATAATTTTTTTCTTAATACAGCATTTTCCATAAAATATCTCAAAACGCTCTACAAGAAAAACACATTAATTATAAAACGCTTTAAAAAATGGGATTAATTAAAAAAAAATTTTAAAAGGAACGTTTTCAACTGCACTTTAAAAATCGACACTTCACTGATGTTCCTAAGATAGGCAGAAAGCCGATTCAATAGCAAGTGGGCATAGACGGACAATGCACGATCGCCATATGCTTTATTTGGCATTGGGCGTATTTTAGGTTGATTGAGCTTAACAGCATGACAACCTCTCGTACAGAACCTTTCGTTCATTTGAATAGCTTGGGACTGGAATATCTGTGGAGGAATTGTGATGGAATTGCAGGGACATGTATGGATCGGATGTCCTGTTTTTTCTGCAACTCATAGGAGTGGAAACAATTGGCGCAAATGCTAAGCCTTAAACCACAACCAACCGGATTAGGCTTAGTCTCACCTGTAGATAATCCTTTTCACATTCATCAGACTCCTCCAGGTCAAAGGTGACAATCTCAAAGATGACGTAGGTATCCAGGTCCTGATGTACGGTCAGGTAGCACTCACTGTTGCTAGGATACGGCTGGGGATAGAGACCGGTGGTGATTTCCCCTGCAGTATTCTCACTGTCGGTAACTACCAGACAATCTGTGAAGAAGATGTTGCCTTTGAGAATTGAAATCTTCAACGGATTACAAAATATATTATAATTGGAGGATTGAAGATGAAGAACTCTGAAGTCTGCTACATATCCTCAAGGCTGTACAGCAAACAAAGTGATGATGGACGTTAGAGATAAGGAATTATGCCAACAACCACGGACAAAAAGTGGATTAAATAATTAAATCCAAAAATTTAAAATTCGTCAAACACTCCTGACAATGGTCCCAAGTCTTAATGAAACAACCCATCCCAATCCTTCCCTTTATATCAGCATATTGATATTCTTGCATTTGTCATGGCTTTAGTGATATTGTAAGTGCGTTATCAAATCAAAACATGATTAGAGTTATACCTGGCTCAGGATGTTTGAGGTGAACGGTGTACTGAGCCTTATAGCCAGTGTATGCCTCCGAGTTATCGCTCACGAACACAACGAGAATCTCATTGCTATCCGAGGTCCAAGCAAACGGCTGTCGCATCCCACAAAAGACATCCGCTCGGTCCGTGGTAACGTCTACAACCTAATTGTATGGAAACCATCGTTGCCTTGTGAGAATAACGCTACCGATCTCAAACGTATCAGCACATTAGAAACCAATGCCAATCAGTCACATCTGGCCACACATCCACCTGTCCTGAGGTCTGGCAAAATCAAAATTGGTAACCTTAACCCCCAGCCAACTTTGGCTAGAAACTTTGCCACATGCGTCAAACTGCATCATTGTTAAAGTGGCTTAGTGTAACAAGATCAAACAGGTCAACTCTCCCCAAGGCCAAAGAGCCCGGGAGTCTGTGGTTGCCAGTCACCACAAGATCTAACAGTTGCATGGTTTAGTGGGACTAGCTCCCATTGTCTCAACACGTCCAGTTTGTTCGGCTGCTGTTGATTGCTGTGATTGATTGCTGTGTCTGGCAGGGTTAGGCAGGTTTAAATGGTCCTGACCTTCCAGTTAACTCTTTTTTTTCACAGCCCATCATTTAAAGCTAACATTTTGAAAATTAATTTTTCAGTTCTGTGCATCAAACACAGCAAATTGCCTCACCATCACATGGTCAAATTGACAGTTTTCCATTGGCTCTCCATTCTGTTTGTTTGAGGGCTCCACCATGAACTCCTGAAAGGCCAGGGTAATGATCTGCCCTGGGTCGGCCATGATGAGGGTACGGCAGTAGGCGTTGTCATGATAGGACTCTGGGTGAGCTGGAGATGTGATGACTCCCTCTACTGAGTCATAGATGATCTGGCTGCAATCTGACCAAGGATAAAGGTCCAATTAAAATCAGTCTGAAGGTCTACTTGAAAAACTAAATAACGTAATTTCAAATGACATATTTCTTTGCTGGAACAAGAAAATTAGATACTCCAAGTGACTGGCCTTTAATTTTGAAATCCCCCTTGAGGGAACCAATGAGACAGCCTTTCTGATGACGAGAATTTTGAAGTGACATGGGAGAACCATCTCACCACTGTCTGCAGCTTCGGGGGGCCTAGCCTTAAGAGGTTCATACTCCACTTCAAACTCCCAATTTTCTTGCTCGGTACTGGTCGGCAGCTCGTAGGTCAACACCGCTTCGTTGCCAGAGGATGACCAAGAGAACGGCTCATAATCGCCACAGATGGTCTTCTCAGCACCAGTGTTGATGCATTTGATCTACAGTGGGAAATATATTCAAAACAATGGTGACTAGACACAGGTAACCTCACACTTTTTTCTCTGTTCAAAAAGAACTCTTTTGGTCAGGTGTACAGAGCTGACCATGTAGAACTGTGTCAACACAGCTTGTGAAATAATTATGGTCTAATATGGCATGAAAGTGGGACACACAAAATCAGAGACAAACCTCGATGTACATGTACAGCATTCCATAAGGTTCTATGTGGGGCGTGGTTAATATAAAAATATTGATAAATCAATTGCAACATAGCATTTGCAAGTTATTCCTAATTAGAGCAGGTGGTCCCATAAATGCGGCTTACCAGCACAGGTTTGGAGCAAAGCACCGTGAACAAGGCAAAGGACAAGACTACCCTGTCATCTGGCGAAGCATGAAAGAGCACTTCACAGGATGCTGGCTGAGAGGCAAGTAAATGAACGTCAGAGACGTACATTCCCATTGGTCCATCGAAAACAGATGAACATGCTGAAAAAAAATGGTGTGGACTGGAGAAAATAACCAGAGCACAGAACACTGCGAGATTTAAGAAACTGTAAGACTGAGATTCAAGAACGCATGTCTTAGCTTAGACAATATTCTCATACCTGTGACAGGTGCCTTCAGGATAGCTCTATAGGTTGCATGGAATCGATGAAAGACGTTGCTTGACTCTGCGCTAAACCTGACCTGGACCTGATTGGAGTCTGCTGTCCACGTGAAGGTATTGTGACTGCCGCAGATGACCTCGGAGCGATTGGTCACTAAATCGATTATCTAAACAAGACGAGACAGAGATTGATCCCAATGCCAGGCATGCAACTAACTTGGACTTTGACAGAAAACAAGGAAATTCAAATCTTTACAAGAATTTGTATTTCGATTTTCAGTTGCATGAGTGCGAGGTGAAAAATGAAGGCAAAGTTGCATGCCTATAATGCTCGATAACATAAGACTTCCTGTTTGTCCAAGGTACATGTACATTGTAAACATCAATAATGACTGACTCAACAGCACATGACCCAACCGGATTCATGCCACAAATCTTAGAAATGTATGAAGCGCATGTCTGCATGGTTGCTATACAGCTTTTAAATTCCGACTATCCTCAGCATCACAAATTAACTGACATGACGAGGGCCTGTCACACTGAAAGAACGTTCTCCAAAAATAATCATTGGAAGGAATAACCTTTGGTTAAAATTAGGCTCTGAATTTTACATACAAACAGGTGGAGACTTCTTTTCCGCTAACCTCAACATAGTTGCCTTCTGAACATTCAGCGCTACCTTCCAGGACAAAGACATCAAATCTTAGCCTTGGTCTCTTGTCTTGAGGGAGCATTAATGTTATCTGACACTGTAGGAAATGGACAGATTTCATTGGCCAATCAGGGGAGGACACCTCGCCAGTCTCTGATTGGATGACTCGGTCACAGTGCACTGGAGCAAAGCCTGGGGATGTTGCGTTGTTGACATCTTGGCGTTTCTCAAGGTGATCTTCCTCGACTAGCAGTAAACAAATGTTTCTATGAGTGCATGTTTTTAAACCTTTTCTCGTTATTTTCAATCTTCATCTATGAAGCTATTAACAATTTATCTTCAATGTATTCATAATTGCTCTACATGACAAAACTATTGTACACATACCCTTATCCCAGAAGCCCAGAAAATGCCTTTTTTATACAGTTAAGTTGAATTAGGCCTGCATGTACACTTTGTGTTGATCCTATGGTCATGATGGTGCCCCGTGAATGTGCATTAGGTCTACACTGAATTGGGGAGTGTCAACTTGATACCTTGACAGGAAGGGAACATATTTGGTGATGCCAGACAAAGTGCTTAACGTTTCAATGATACTCTGTATTGACCTGCTTTTCAGATTTATTTTCTCGTAATGTGCAATGAACTCTTTCAAAATGCACCCCAAAAATAATTTTCGGGGGGGGAGGGACTACTTGTCTGTAAGGACTGATTTATCAGAAGATAGAGAAAACCTGACATGTTATTGTGGGTTTTTCTCAAAGGTTTGTGTAAAAAATTGCCCCACCATAGCCAAGTGAAACTTACTGTAGATCGGGAAACACCCTTTTCATTCATTTTGCCCAATTTCCGGAAGCCACCAGCACCACAGTTTAGAATTTCGATCTACATGTAGGCCTAGGCCTAAGCTTAACCATACTGAAATTGTTCACAACAAACACAATGACAAAGGTTCAAAGCAACAACGTTGGAGGTGATTATGAATAACTTCACAAGTTCACGAATTTGAAGTTTTTCAGAGAAGAGGATTTGGTAACAACCAATATGACCATGGCACGCCTGATTGTAAAGAATCAGTTCCATACCTGATCGTGATGGTGCGACCGAAGCACAGTTGCCCTCACAAGTTCTTCTCTCCGGCACAACTGGTTTGGGAATTCCGTGGCAGGCAGCGTAGCCCAACTCATGGTTGGTTGTTTCAGACAAGCACACAGCACGAGCTTTCACCTCGCCTTCAACAAAAAGAAGAAACAATAGAAGAAACGAGAAGTTTCCTGGCTTTCGATTCAAATACAGCGCTAGATCTGTCTTTATGCGATGGCAACCAATCGTTATTAACTGTGAACTTCAACACTCGGCCACCGTGTAGTCTGGTGCGAAGGTCAAAATCATGCGCGTACCATCTATTGCAATGCTGGGATTAAGACTGTAGTAAACAAGTATGGAACGCCGTGAAAACAAAACATCCACGGCAGCACAAATAGGAGGTCATTGACCTTTAACAGCGCTGTAATATCTTTTAGTTGTGAGTGGTTGGCCTAAATTTCTTCGTTGATTTAAAATTCTAGTAATGGATATCAAGTCAACTTTTGGAAGCTACCTTGGCCGCAACTCCTGCTACATTCTCCCCATTGCACGTCCCAAGATACTCGGTGGTTCGGCGTAAACAGGCGCTTCGTCAATGGCGCGACCTGTTGAAGATAAAATAGGATAACAGTAAATTTCTTACTTCCAAAATTTGCCCCGTTTTCAGTTTTTAAAATCAAATATGAGAAGGAAGCTTTCAGAGAATCCCTTTGGATATTTGTCGCATACTGATGGTCTATCTACTCACGAAAAGAACTACATTTATAAATATCCTCCGCAGGTTGCCACACCCAAGTGGTGTGATGGAACATTTCTGCACCAGTCCTTCCTTGGTCATCTCAATTTTTGTGGCCTCATATGATGAATTTGATACGGAAAAAGTCTTCCTGGGGCTGTTTTCCTCACATAACCACTGGCAAAATGCACCACTGACATAACTGACCGATGAATGTACTTGTCACACCTGCTTGCCAAATAATGACTATTTTTTTTCTGAGTATGTAGACCACATCGTCCCTTCCCCCTTCCTTGATTTAGTTTTATTTTGCACAGAAAAACGTACGTGACTTACCTCCCAACCAAACCCAGAATCCACCAAAATAAAGGCAAACTTGAATACGAAGATAAGAGCTACCGCGGCGTGCCGTCTCCCCCGGCCCGTCAGTACCCCCATGATCGTTGACTGCCGATACTGGTTTGGTATGTCCAGTACGGAAAGAGGCTCTGGGGCTTATTGCGGCATGGATGTTAACTTGAAATGACGATGTGCTATGAGAACAGGCATGCGCAGGAGGCGCCTTTTCGAGAAGGAATGTGGTGAATTTTAACGCCTTCGTGCATGGAGGTTTGTTTTCAATGCCCCATTATCCTCGGGATTATAGCAGATATTCTACTTAGAATTAACTTCAGGCCAAGCTATGGCCAAGAAATTATTGCCGGCATCCTTACGTTGCTGCCGTTGGTGAAGTTTTGACTTGCAACAAAATGAATTTCGGCGGTAAAAGTATGTATCGGTGAAGGGCGGATCTAGGAAGTTGCTGGGAGGGGGTTGGGATGTTGTCGCCATTGGTGAATCTATTTAATGTCGTTGTTTTGTCCTTAGTTGTATACGCAAATCAAGGCGCCTAAATGTTTTTTTTAAGGGGGGTTATCCAATCCTTAGATGTAGGCCCTAGGCTAAAATAATAACAAAATAAAAATTAAATGGCGACGAGTGGGGCCCCACTCATTGCCAGTTCTTTTTTGATGCTCATAATCATGAATAATCACCTAATGCTAGTTTACAAATTGTACGTTTGGAGTTAACGCATGGACATGAACTAATTAACTAAGTATAATTGAAGTGTTGATCCTGAGGCCGGCCGTACAATTGATAGGTTCACATTTAAAAAACTCCACAGGCCTCCCCGGACCTGCGAGCTTTACTGATCATTCACTGAATCTGAAGTCCTAGACAGTTGTAAATTCTCTTCAGAGAAGTGTGGCAAGACCGTACATCATTGATGGAATATGTGCTTGATAAAAACGTCAAAATATCCTAATTCTCGAAAAAAAAAATCACCCCTATCTGCAAACTCGATACGCTGGGAAAGCTGACAGCCTGGCTGAAGAATGACAGGCATGCTCATGATGTTGACAGTGGTTGAGCAACTCGAGTCATGCATCGCTTGGCGTGGACACGAAAACGAGATCTCAAAAGTCAGAGCAGCGCAGAAAGATGAAAGGCAAACGAACATACGGACCATATCTAAGGTAGGTTCATCATAAGCTATAAAAAGTAGCCCTCCAGATTTGCATTTTACTGTGGCTGGTCTAGCTTTAAAATGAACTATTTCTTGCTTCGATGTTTACGTTACTTTTCAAATTTAAAGCGCATTTCAAAATAGGCCATAAGGGATTCCATTTTTGACAAAGTCTTGGCAAGTCCAGTCAGTGCAGTGGAGTTAGCTCGACTAATTCCAATGTACGAAAGTGCGGCTAGCTCCGTTTTGAATTAAATGCAGGCCTACATGAGACTTGTGCCCAATAAACAAGTTCGACAACAAACGGTCAATCTAGTTTAAAGGTGTCAGATTTATTACCAAGAATTACATTCACTTATTTTATCATAATACAGCAACAATGGTGCAAAATTTGCTTTGTCTCATTAAAACATCGCCAACAGACCAAAATGTCGAACAATAACAAATTGTACTCCCACATTAATAAAAACAAAAAACTCAGTTCATTTGAGATCGTTGGAAAAGATCTGCCTGTATATTTGTCAGGAAGACACAAAAGTGAAGCACGCTACTAAACGTATGCATGCACTCGTTTATAGCTTCACAAATTACCCGTAAAGCTGTTAATTTTCTTTGTAACATAAAGCAACATAATTACTTTCAGGCAATTCACAGAGTCAAAACGAAAACGGGTGCCAAAACATCAAACATGAAGCACAAAAATGTTATAAACCAAATTTATGTAATAGCTTTTACCCTAGTAAACAAGGATCCAGAGTTTTCATTAAAGCTATTTTACAGGCATACATTAAAGTTGAAAAGCAAGCTTTAATGACACTGCTTAGTAAAAGCTTAGATTTTAAAACCGACTGGGCATGAATACACTACAATCTCGCTTCGTTTCAAATGGTAAATATTAGGACAATGATCAACATCTGGACTGACACATGTGCATTACTCAAGCATTATTGCAATTTGCAAGGAGATTAACTATAACAACAGCTAAAGTTGAGTTGTTAAATGTTTGCCGACTCTCCAACCGTTGCTTGACCACTGGATTCTGTCTGTGAGATTTGATAAACCTGTGCTGGCAGAATACCATGGCAACCATCTTTAGCGTTACCTGAAAGTAGAAAACAAAAACAAAGTTGATGCGAATAATAATCACCAAGCGCACAGTTATTTTGCAATACAGTGGAACACTCTTACAAGGTCCTTGGGACTTTACAAAGTACCTTTTTATAATAGTTACTTAAACTTACCTTATATTATCAGTAATGAAGAACAAAGACATGGGACCTAGAATTGTCCTCGTTATAAATATGACATTAAAAGTGCTCTTTTTATTTGTGATCGACTGTATAATGTAATGGCAGCCAAAACGTGCGGGAAATCGGTCCTCGCACAACCCGTCCCGCCGCTCTGGAGCCGGGCTCGTCCGCCCCCCCCCCCCCGGGGGGGAACCGCTCCGGAGCTTGGGTTCGATTGTGTCGGAAATGCACGGCTTTACGTTGCCCTCAGTTTGTGCACAAAGGAGGTCTCCCTGTGGAACAAACAGTGCCCTGCAAGATGGCTACCACAAAAAGCCCCCACCGTGCTTATTGCCACCGCGAAAAACAGCAAGAATCACCTCACCGTGCTGGAATTTGTCACCCGTCCCTGTAACCCTGGAATAAAACAATTTCACTCTTTCGTGGACAACTTACTTGAAGCTGAACCAGAATCCGTGAGATCCGCCGCACTCCCCTTCCCATCAACTCGGACCTCAATGAGGTTGGCCTCACTCGACCAGCCGTGTCCATAGCTCGAGAGTGGATAAGCTGACTCGCCATGCTTGGCGATATCGAGTCCTGCAAGTAACCGACATTCCGACAAGACTAGAATTCGTGGACAACATGTTTATATCCCTCTCGTGTACGATGCTCAAACACAAACAATCAGGAAATTCGATTTATATTTGACATAACAGGAAAGAGGCATGGGGTTTTTTGCCTGCAGGTGGGCGCAGGTTGACACGTCCTGATGATTTGGCGGATCGCCGCCCAAATCAACAAGTGATTATAATGCTGTGGAACTCTTTGGAGATAAGAGGGTGTATGTTTGAGCAGTTACAGAAGTAGCATTAAATACCTTTCTCCTCAATTTCGGATGATACGCGAAGGACACCAAGGAGCCTCATCAGTCCAAACAAGATGGCAGACAGGATTCCTGTCCAGCAGATAATGGCCACTGCACCCAGGGCGTTCCATCCAAGATTCTGCAAAGTAAATCCAAAAATCACGATTACCCTTCACTGTCTGCATGCAGCCCTCTCAACAACCAGCGATCGACCACTTGGGCTACTTGGTGAGACGATTTGCAGATACATGTAGATGCCATTTTATAATAGTTACCGGTATGTTCGACTACTGGTGGGGACAAGCTTGCACTCTTTTTGTTTGCAACATGTACATTTTCAACTGAACGTGTGGTGCAGTGAAGCTGACTACCAATGATGTTGTGAAATGGAGGCTAAACTTACCATGAATGCCACCTGGTTCCAAGCGAAGACTACACCCGTTTCAAATCCGAGGATTGGAACTGAAAATACTCCCCACAATCCTCCGCCAAGATGAACTGAAAATTGACCCAAAGAGCACCCATGAGAAAGGCTAAGTGATTGTCTCGGGGGGGGGGTAGCTTAAGCAAGAGGGGCCGAGGTTTGCTCCCATAACTAATGGATTGTATCCAGAAAGATTTATTTTAGGACCGTGAATCTGTCAGGGAGATGTCATACCTGCCACGGCATCAAGTGGGTCATCAATTCGGAGCTTGCAGACTAGCCAACTCCACAAAACATACACAGCGCCCGACACAATACCGACGACGGCAGCACCCCACGGTGCCAAAACATTGCATCCGGCACAAATAGCCACCTGTAAGAAAAACAGGGTGGAGGTCCACAATCAGAGAAACATGAGTAGTAAGCAGCAATTCTGAGAAAGTAAGCAGCTAGATGATACTGAGACTGCCTAAGATGGCCTGGTGCTGCGCAACTGAAGATAAATTTGTGTCGGAAAATAGCAGTGTGAACAGCAGTGTTGTACTCGAGTCCATCACAAGCCATTCTGTCTCGAGCCAATTCACAAGCTATTCAAATGAACTGTGACAAAAGCATTCCTTTATTAATGCTCACCCTGTTACTTGTCGACTGGCCTTGTGAAGGGACTTGTGACTGGACTTGTGAAGGGACTTGTGAAGGGAATTGTGATAGACTTGAATACAACACTGGTGAACAGAAAACAAGCCGACGCCAACTATTTTACAACTGGAGGTAAGTCTTTTAAATGGCCTCATGACTCCAGCGACATTTACACCATTCTCTCTCCTCAATCTGTTGTTATGCAACCTTCCAAGGTATCTAGGATGATTCTTTTGAGATACATCAGCTTGCTGACCAAGTCTTACAGGGACCAGATTGGGTCATTTCAACTGTCTCACCATTCCAGTGAGTGCTCCGTTGATGGTGATGAGCAGGCTCCACTGACCATTAAAGCCTTTAAGTTTCTTGATCACCATAGCAACTAGTGCAGCGTGACCCCCGCTGATGATGGTGTTGACAATGGAGACAGCAACCACCTCCCCATCACCCGGCTGAGAGATACTAGCTTGGGAGCCGCCATTGAAGGCAAAGAAGCCGAAGAAGAGGATAAACCCTCCCAAAGCTGCAAGCTGCAAAAATAAGAACGAAGCACTATTAAATCTGACCAATGTTTCTTGGAAATCCTGATACAAACCCACTGAATCATCAACTTCCCCTCTCCTTTGACGGAACTTGATGGGAAAACTCTGCACTCATATTTCCTTTAAGTCGATTAGTGTTGCTGGATCCCTTAGAAAGCACATTTTTGTGGAAGAGCTGTCTTTGCACTTAAGTATCTTTCCACCGCTGTTAACTTGACAAACTATTAAAAGCAATAAAGCAGAATCCTGAACCATGCATCACATTGTAAACTCATTTATGTGTACTGTACATGTACACGTATTAGGTAAGCATTATCCAAACATTCACTAATTCTCTGATTTCACCTTGATTTTATATACATGTGGTTCATAGGGGGTTAGGGTTAATTTGTTCAGTTGCTAACACTGTTCATCAGTGACAAACTTGGAACAGTACCAGCCGACGTACCGGAACAGTGTGGCCTGGGATGGTTGTGGGGTTTCCTTGTTTGTCAAAGCGGCCGAGTCGGGGACCAACGATGGCAGCTCCGACCAACGCGGCCATTCCTCCAACCATGTGCACTACACCGCTACCGGCAAAATCCTGGAAAATATAATCATTACGATAACATCAAAGACATCACTCACTAATGACCATTCCCCAGACAAACAAACCAAATTATGAAATAAAACCGAAGACGTAAAACAAATCTCCTTGGACACCAGACTATTAAAACCAGCACAAAAATAAAGGAGACGTCATACGTTAACATCATTGTCGTATGAATTTAAAATTACCACAATCATGAGTTCCAAGTTGAACAAATGCGTCACTTCAAAGTGATACAAATCATCACTTCACGCAGTGAACCTGTAACATACGAATTTTGTCTCCTTAGCGAAAGACCACTCTTCTGAATTCCAGCACCATAGTGCGCGTGCTATACTTGAATATTGCTATGCCATCGCAGTAATTGACCTCTTTTTCATAGGGTCAAACTCTTGCCCTTAATCCGTATATTTTCTCTTAAGGACTTTCATGGCTCACCTGGTATGCAACGCCTTCAACACCTGGTCCTGCTGCTAGCCAGCCATTACCTGACCACGCCCAGTGACTTACGATGGGATAAATCACACCTGAATTTCATGAAAACATTGTGTGATGTTCATTTAAGTGAAGGGGGGTTTGTCTGAAGTTTGTCACGGAATACCAGCACCTTTTCTTAAGATCTTTCTTCTTAAGATTTCTTTAGATTCTTTTGTCATCTCATGCTTTTTGCTCCTTACTTTTGTTCATTTTCCGTTTAATTTTACCATTTGTTTGATTGTGATTACGCTGTTCCCTTTTTTGTTCCACCTGTCGAGAAACGTTACAGGTGCTTGAGCCATTGAGATCCCTTTACATAATACATTCGAACACTGTAATCCTACCAGTGATGACGCAACTGTAGATGAGATAGGCGCCAAACTCAGTCCGCTCTGCCATAGCTCCAGACACAATGGTAGTAGCCGTGGCAGCAAACACAAAGTGAAAGAACCAATGAGAGTAAAGGCTTGGCGGCATGTTCTCGAAGAAGAAATAGCGGTGACCAAGGAAGGCGTTCCCCGGGCCGAAGGCGAAGGCGTACCCAACAGCCCAGTAGGCGAAGGCACCCAGACCTACAGTTTTTTTGTGCGTGGAAAAGCAGTGGTAGGGACGAAGAAGAGACAAAAACCTAAACCTCAACACAAGACTTCGGTGACAAAAACCGTCGCTGCATCTACTTATTGGATTCTCTTATGTTTTAGGTACGCAGTTTTTAGTGAATCAATACAGTAGTTGTTGATACCCCATTCAGTTTTTGGTTTTCAGTGTCCATCCTGAGATTGCTTTCTTTGATAAAAGCGTCATTCCAAAATGTATTACTTGTTTTTGGCAGGCTACTCAAGGTTGTGCACAGAAGGATTTCCAGTTCTCATCGACAAATCATGAGGGGTTGTTATAACGACTCCGGGGTTTCCATGAACAGATATTGAAGGTTAGAGAAGCTTCCAATCGCACGCATACTTTTTCAGAGATCATAGACACATATCCAAAAGAATATTAAGCAGACTCACAGACATCCAAGACATTCTTGATCAGGATGTTGGTTGTATTTTTGCTGCGGACGGATCCAGCCTCCAGGAATGCAAACCCGCACTGCATGACTGTAAATGGGAAAAGTAGGTAAGTGTATTCTTTTCTGGGCAATCTTGACTACAGCATAAATTACTGAGTTGATTAGCTAAGAGTTTCATACACGGGTATCACCAATTTTACCTTGGAGTGGTTAAATCGCCATCAGAAAATGACACCATGTCACAAAATTTAAATTTAGCAGGGAAAATATTGAAACATTTACTTAGAAAATACTTGGAATTTTTCAGACCAGTCTTATAGGGTTGTGCACAGGTTGTCGTGTGATGTCCGTGAGTGAAACTCTTTCCACACATTAATTCTAATTGTCAGTGGAGTTGTTTCTTAATTTGTCTTCACTGTAACACGAAAAGACGAAGATCGTATTCGGAATTTACTTTCTACTGCAGAGAATTATCTTGCTCTTTTTAAACTTGCGTAGGCCTATACATGCACTTCTGTGAACTTCATATGTCATATTTTGCTCCTGGGTAAAATCTTAAAAAATATATAAGTTCTTACAGAAGATGAGACATGCCATCACAATGAGGAAGAAGGTATCAGCGTTGGCCTTGAGCGAGTCTAAGGAAAACTGGATGCCGGCCAAAACGTCTTCAGATCCCTCCAAACCTTCGCCTACAAGGCTGGTGTTCTGAAGTTCCTCCATTTTCTCGACAATGTTCAAGTCGTCGTTTCTGACAATGTCTATTAAGCGACCTCAGATACGTAGGACAGATGGAAAACAAGCGACGTCTTTCCCCGAGGGTACCTGGATCCGAATTGAACGTGTTGATGTAAAATTCCACCCCCGATGTTGAAAGACTGTGGAAAGCCCAAAATATTACCACTTGGCGCGCCCACACAGGACTTAAGGCATGAACGATTTTTGAGGTACTTTTCTCACAGTTGGAAAAAGGAACACGCAGTTCGACTTGATTTCTTGACAATTACTGATGACAAGTTAAGTCAATTTTGAAAACATTGAGGTGAATTCAAGCCATTTTTGGAAGTCAACACTTTATAATACTTTCCTTTGCTCCTCGAGGATGTAATTTTTGGTTTGTTGTCATCGAGTCTCCCCTTTATTTAAATGGAGCGGGCCGGCAGCATGTTAAGACGGCGTGATGCATTCATGACCGGATGATTTGCATCCTCACTTGGGGTGTGTTATGCGTGCTCTCCATTGTTCATTGTTGTTAACAGGTGCCTGCGCTTTTTGGGACAGCTCACGTGCAAATTCAGTGCTGGTGCATTAACTGGTTAATTATCCGTTGTGTTATATTCAGCATGCAAGTTTCCACTCGATACGCCTATGGGGCGCAAGAGACCTTTTTCACCCAAAAGGCTGGATTGCGTTGAATGTAAACAATACCACCCCGAAGGGCTTCAGATATCTCCGAAAGATGCCCTCGTTACGCGTGTGGGTCAACATTACGACCTGATGAAAACTGCATGTCCATTGTATACAGTTTTAGACGAAAGATCATGGATGATGTTCATTTTCCTAATTCAGATGAACTGCACTAATGCGATGTGATACTCAAATAGGATCCATCCCCACGAAACCTCGTTATTTCCTTTAGTTCAGAAAAAATTATTCTCCTCTAAAATGGAATCCCTCAGCAGAAGTTTCAAGAGTGAGATTTTTCATTGCTGACTACATTTCTGTCTTCAAGTTCGTTTATCCTTCCTGCTTTTAAAGCTTGTCAACCATGCTCTGAGAACTGTTTCTCTATTTTGACAACCACGTAGTTTAATGAATGCAGTGTAGTTGAGGTTTGTGCGACACCTGTTTAAACATACACATCATTACACGCATATGTCCATATTAATACGCCTATATGCATGATTTACTGTCGTTCATAAATTTTTACATATCGAGTTCCATTCAGCTTTTATTTTAATCCAAGCCAACTCAAACGAGCAAGAAATTTCAGTGTCCATTAAGACCAGTAAAAGTGGGTGAATTTGACCTTTACTTTTAGGCTCCTGACGAGGAACAGGTCACTTTAATACGAGACCTTTAAATTTCGATCAATGATGAGCAAATCACAGTGGGGGTATTTCTATAATAAACACATGGTGTTACTGCAAAATGGTAGCAATAAGCTGTCAATCATGCGCAGCCATAAAAAAAAATCACCATTTCTTTGAGTTCCATCCATGTTTAGAGAACTGTTAATTTTCTGTAAGGTTTCCATAATGTACTTTTGTCATATACATGTACTTTGTATGTGAATATAAACAGTATAGTGCATTATACGGGATACAGAAAGAGCTAAAACTGTTGGATTTTTTGTCAGCCTAGGCCTGCATTTCCTAGACTCTGCTCATAACATTTTAGAGCCAACTTGCAACAGGAGAAGCCGGAACAATCTTTCCTCCAAATAAAAGTATAAATATCATTTATGATATAAATTAGAATGCGGCGCTGCCTAGAAATTAGCCAAGTGCCTGGATTTTAAGATGGATGATTTGTACGATTTAAAGAAGCATTTTCCGCTTGCCAACTACCGTGTGCTTGTCTGCGTCCTGGGCATTACGTCTTGTTAAACAAAATCTCACTAGAGGCTTTGCGTGGCAGCCATGTTGCAGGGCGGTTGTTTTATTCCATGGAGAAATTTCCTTTTTATAGGAAAACCCTGTGCAACAATATCACTAGCCTATAAGATGGCCGCCATATGCAAACCCGGCCTTTATACTTTTCTGACATGTAGATAAGGCAAGCATCGGTATTACTCTCCAGCAAACCGGAGTGTATTTGTCATCTCAGCTTTGCAGTTCTTTTTTCTTTGACCGGCTGGTGTAGATGTGATACACCACGTTGCAGATAGCTGTCATAGTCATCGTTGCACTGAACAGAAGAAACGTCGATTTGAAGCTTCCCGTGTTATCGAACATCAGACCTATTCCAAATCGAGAAAACACAGAAGTAATAAGAATACGGAAGCAAACAAATATATATATATATACATTGCAGGAAGATTTTTTTGTGGATCTAGAAAATGCGGTTACGGAAGAGGCAGTTAATTGGGCCTGCAGTGGAAGTCCTGCATGTGTGTTAAGAATTTTGTAACCTTTACCCGAAGTGACAATTCTTCGAAATTTAACCTTTTGTGCGACTGCCTACATTTCTGCGTTGTTGACGTAGCAATTAGCTGCCCCGGAAACATTTCTTCGTACTTACCAGACACCAGACCAGAAAATGGGTACGACAACCCAGTGATGAAATTTTGCCAGCTATAGAAGAAGCAGACTGTACGGTCGTCCGTAGCCAGGTATCGCGTCATAATCACAGGGACAAGAAAGACGCTCTCCATTGCAGCTCCCACGATTAAAGTGACACCAATCTGACCGATGAAGAGAGAGATGTGGGGGTCCAAGGCGAAGCAGATGATGGCCACGGCGCTGCTAATTCCCAAGACGGCAAACTCCGAGATGGCCTTCTTCTGGATGGCGAAAGCCGTCACGCACAGACCGAAGAGGTTACCGAGGCCCCAGGCGGTCGTTGTGAAGGAAGCCTCATGGGGCTCCAGCCCAAGAGCCAAGGCGTTCGGAACCATGTAGATGACGAATCCGGAGTACCCGAACCCGCTAAAATACTTGATTAAAGTAAGGAAGATGAATCTGCCATTCCTAAAGACGTCCAGGCCCATCTGCTTGATGACGTCACTACAGCATCGCGGCTCCTCTCTCGTTTCATCCAAGCTCTCGTATCCATTTGAAGATACAGTGACGGTGAGCGCTTGATTCTCTGGGCGTGAGAGGGATTTTGAGCGACGGAGCAACAAGCCACAACCCATGATGTTCAAACTGAAGACGCCCAGGAGCATACAGGTTCCCCTCCATCCTACCGCATCCATCAGAAGCTGTGTCAAGGGACCGTACAGCATCATTCCAAAGGGTGCCCCCAGTTTGGCCACAAAGCTGGCTAAGGCGTACTTCTCATGGAAGTAGAGCGCCATCTCGGCGAATGTGGTCTCCTTAACGCAGGCTGATCCTAAGCCTAGAGTCGGTAATAAAAAAGCATGTAGACTGGTATCATGTTTAATGCTCGACGGAGAAAATCTCTCCTAGTTGGCAGATTTTCAATTAAATTAGATTTAATAAAATAAAAATGACATTTGAGCATTTTATGATTGTGACAGTAATCTGCAAATCCACTATTATCCCCGTAATAATAAACGAATCAAAGTTTCTACTGGGTAATCTCTGATAACATGACATCTCTCTATGGACCTGAACGACAAATCGCGCAAAATGCCTTTGGCCGGTGACCTTACGTACGCATCTTCCACCTGTTAACACTCTACTTGGCATGTGTATATATCGTGACACTGCTCAAATCTTTTCCCACAAAATTATCAGTATAATGGCGCCCTCGCACGTTTAGGCACGAGTACCGAAGTGAATACGTCAGGCGCACAATTAGTGTGTAAAAGGCATAAGCGCGTGAACCAACATGCGCGCGTACTCCATTCGTTAGCACTGCACTTTCTGGTTCACAGTGACGTCACACTTCGGTACTACGGAGACTTACCAGTCAGACATATCATGGCCAAGCCGAAGATGTATATACTAAACGTCTGAGACACTACCAGGAAACCCATCCCAATCATCAAACCGCCAACCACCACGACAATACGAACGCCAACTTTGTAAGATAAAGCAACTGGCGCTGGAGCTGAAATAAAACAACCAAATACTTTACAGATGTTGCAAGCAGAAATGACAACACAGCCAAGAGATGGAGGTTAACGTTGCCAAGTTCAAGAGCACCTCTTCATTATCTGCTGAGGCATGAGGGTTGATTAAGCATGAGTGAGTAGCTTGCAGGAAACCTGCAAGTGAAACCACTGCACAGTTTTCGAGTCGAAAGGACTTAATTAAGGAGCAAGATCTTAACAAGGGTTGTGAGACTAACTTGCTCCACCATTTTGCTGAGTCATCAAGGCCCCACTCTTTGGGGGAATTAAGAAACCACCCAGTGAACGTGAAACATGATTTAAGCTGGAAAAGACTTTGGTGCAGGCTCCTAAAGTCAGTTGAAATTGTTGAAAGTATCAAGAAGACGTTTAGGCGTCGGGTCTTGTAGAAGCCAGCAGATTGTCTGACCCCGACTAATGATGAAACCTTCAATACTGAATCAGTAGAAAATTCATATTGGGCCAAAAATAAACTGAACACCGAACAGGTGAGCCAGAATGCCGTTCAATGTCTTCGTTTCTTTTACTGACTTCTCAGGTGGTTTATAATTAGCATGTGTCTTGCATCAAACTGCTTTCCCAAATTTGATATTATGGGCCTTTCATTTTAATTATACTTCTCCCGAAAATAAATTTTCTTTCAGAGTAATGAAAATGAAAAGACTTACAGAGCGAAGACTGCATGCTGTAGTATAGAGAGTTGATCAGACCAATGGCATATAGTTTAGTTTCAAATTCCAGGGTTTGGTTTGTAAGAAGTACGCCGGTCGCCTTGAGGTTACCGTACAGAATGAACTGAGTCAAGCACGCCGAGAAAACGATTAGCCATCCGCGACCTCCTTCGCTGTACACCTTGGCGGAACTCGCCATAACGGCTTCAAAGTCCTTCGACGATGATACAAAGTAACATATATCACTCGGAGAGCTTGTTAAACGATCGTCAGCAACATTTCTCGGTGAGTGCACGGCAGAAGACTTTCACACTCAAGACATTTAAAATGAACGTGCGGCGATCAGAAGTCCTCCTGATGGCAACTGAGCTCATCTGCAACTACACATCTCTTCCAAGAGAAAGGCGTGTGGGTATTTAATACGTTTAATGTAAGTGCTCTAACTACTTAATTGACATGGACAAGCAGGGTACTTTACATTAATATAACTATTGTACCAGCAGAACGTTACCAAAGCATTAACGACCCCAATTTCTTGAGCGTTTTAAGTGCTCGTCTGACCGGGTTGATTTTGTTCATACGGTTGCATTCACGGTACGTGTATAAACTAATGGAAATAACATCCGGATGAAAGACTCATGCTGCCAGTGTGTACAGTATTAAATCGTGCTTTGGTCTCGTTAGTGCAGGGACCACTGGGAATAGGAAACTCGTTTTGGGAGAAAAATGCAGGTAGTTGGCCAGCAGGCATGATCATAATATTATACGCACACTTGAAGATGAAGTGCATGTAATTAGAACGCACAGTTGAATCAAGTGACAAGTAGCGTTACTGCAATACACTTTGCGTTCGTTCTTTAAACAATCTATTCTTATTGTTAAATTGCCAGATTGATCAGCCCTCATTACTTCTGCTTTGTGAGATACAATTTTTACAGGCTAGGTCTTTGGACTAGACCACTGTTACCCAGCCTTGTGTAGGGTGATTCTATTTCCTTGGTTTATAATGAACAAGGGAAAAAATCTGCACTTCATAAATCGGCATATCACCACGCCACTTGGACTTCAAAATCGCTCACTGCAATTATCAGGCAAGGACCTGGAGGCCAGGCATTATACAAGAGGAGATTGAAGGTCAAGTCCTGGAGAACTTAATTTGGCAGGTCAAAGTGTCTGGTGCATAATTCTCAGAGTAAACAGTTGTTGTTTACAGGGCCAAATGTTGGCCCATAACTTACGCAGTTAGGTACCCGTACGTAGTGATGCAATCTTTGTTCACAGCAAAGCCTTCGGAAGAAGAAGGGGTGAGGATAGTAGGGGGTGTGTTGAAGGCGTACAAGTATGCGGTACATTGACATTGTTGAGACAGGCGTCCCATACCTAACCTCTGAGGATAGTTTCCGGAACTAAAGTACTTTCCCAGTGATGATAACACGTACCATGCACCGAGTAGGCCTTTGTAGACTGGCATGGACCGAGTCGAAGCTACCACTGGTTGACTTTATAGCCCATAGGTAATGTATTTCAGTATACATGTATGTTGCGCTAATTTTCTAACTTAAAACTTTCGTCACACCTGAAGGATTTCTGTTGGGTGTTCCAAGATTTTCAGTCTCAATCTGTTCTCTAAAAAGACGTTTGATTAATCATTTCTCAGTGCAGTGGGTGGACTCTAGTCTACAATCATGCAAGGACACTCGTGGACCGTACAAACCGGGACATTGGCTTTTATAATGTTTGTGGCCAAATACTAAGAAGAAATGATGGTGTATGGCAATATTTCGATTAAAATGCCGCAGTTACAACATATTGTTGATTGTCTATAAATGTTTCCGTTTTAATGGTTGAATGTGTCAATTATGTTACATGTATAATCTGCCACTTATCCCATTATGAGGCAGGTAGGTAGGCCTATTCAGCATAGATAAGGCAGGAATAGGCCAAAAGTACAGCTTCTACAATGAGCAATTTACTTGTTGGGACTGACCTATACAGTGTACTAGTCCCTTCAACCTGCCGTAACCATAGCTACCCCGTGACCCCGTTTCCTAGATTAGAAATTGGCTCAACTACGGAACTTGCATGTACTGAGAGAACGCTGTTTGTTTACTCAACAATACCCGGATACGGGAATATTTCCGAGTTTCAGTCTGAAACATTTTCAGATGTCAACAAGTGCTATTTTTCTCCAACACTAAAAGGTGAACAGAAAGCTCTGTAAAACATGTGGACCCTGGCGACGTGGTGCTTTGCCTGTCTTATCACAGCCTGCAATGCGCAGTTGACTGGTGAACAAGTACAAGATGTACGTGTCTCAGTTACCAGCAGACGATCACTCGTTATCCCTTGCGTTGGCCTGAAACCAGACGACAAAGTCAGCATTCTTCATTGGTACAAAGGAGCCACCATAGAGGAGGCGTTGAATACTGTCCTCATTCGCTACGACAGCAGCGGAACCGGGAAAAACTACACGGCGGGTGAGAAGTACCAGTTAAGGGCTGACTTCAGTTTGATCATCTACCCCGTTGAGCCGACTGACGCCGGCAGGTATTGGTGTCACGTGGTCATTGAGAATTATGGTGTGCAGCAGGAAGACCCAGTCGATGTGACTATAGGTATGTTCAATATGGAGTAGGCGTAGATCATATACACATTCATCCTAGCAGCATGGGCCTAGCCGAAATGTTCTTTGGAGGGGAAGGGGAGCACGTTTCTCTGGGGGAAATTTGTGGGTTGAGGCAAAGTACAAAGAACTGATACATCACTAACAGCGGAAGAGGTTTTTTTTTCTTTTCAAGCAAAGTGGTTATTTGTACCCATTCTCATCTCTTTTGTCGTCATTTCTTTCGTTCTTTCCCTTCCCCTTTCCAGAGAGACCCTTTCCCCCTCCCCCGCGATGCCCTGACTGACTTAGGAGTCAGTCAACCCACTGACCTTGTCGGCTGTTATACTTGAAATTTCATGCATGATTTCATCTCATCATCTAACAATTACTCTGAAATGTAACATGCCAGGTTATCACAACCTTGATGAAAGATGGGTTTAACTCATATCCTCAAGTAAAACTTTACACCAAAGACAAACAGAATGTAAATAAAGGAATTGGCCAGTCACCAGTGTTAGTTGTCTTTGTAGTGGTGGTTTTAGTGTTTTGTTGTTTTTGCTTGTTTGACGGTGCAGTTATTAATAATTTCCAATTCTAGTGAGCCCCGTGGAACACGTGGTATCGTCTTGCAGCAAATTAGTGGACAATGTCTGCAGTGTCATTGAATCTCGGCGTCTCATTTTGGATTGCTGGGCTACTGACGCGTTCTTGAAACCCAATTTAAGTTGGGCGTTCATTGGTTGTTCTGAAAACACCAGCCAGTCCCAACAATGGTTTTTGTCTAATCAGCGGTCGATCTACGACGAAGATACCTCAACCTACAACGTCAGCCAGGGGGTCTTCTTAGGCAGGTTGGAACTGGAAAAAGATGAAACCTGCTCCTTTCAATGTACGACAACAGGTGGTGCTATAGTCAATGAATCATCGACAATTGTCAACGGATCGTCAAGTATAACAGTCGTCGTCACAGGTGCGTTAATTTATAATGTACAGTTTTCAGCAAGAAATTTTGCAACCCTGTCAAAGAAATGTCAGGGAAAATTGTTTTATGCTGGACCAATTTTCTTTCTCCTTCCAAAGTCGATAAAATCAGCTGTCCTAAAAAGATCAAACATAAATGTCTCATAAGACGTTTTTCTCCATCACCATACCACAGGAAAAGGTAAAAAACCTAATAACGGCCAGGATCCAGGCGACAACACTGGTAATGACAACACCACACCAAGCAGTGGGCTTAACCTGGGTTTCATGGCTGTCATTATCGTGCTGGCCTTCGTTTCCTTGGTGTGCTTGATCGGTATAGTGTACCTCTTCTCAAGGGTCTGGTGTTCTAGAGGATCCACGTTGACAGCTGAAGAAGTCGAGATGAACAAAACTAAAGGTATGCCATTGTGACGGTTTACATCTCTTTCCCCCTTAGAGGAGAAAAATCTCATTCGAGTGTATCTCCTCTGACTATTATCGAAGGTGATATCTTCATTTCTGTTTCTTTAATGCACGGCACTTTTAAATATTATTAGAAGTACTTTGATCATCATATGAACAGAGTTGCTCTAGCCCAGTGGTAGGCATATGCTATGGCTGTGATTTTGAAAATGTGGTTTCCATAGCTTATTAGTATTTTTCTCCTACAGAAAACCGTGATGAGAAAATGTGCTTGCTTCATGCCGAGAGCGGCAAAGGAAACACCCAGGACATCATAGGTAGGCCTGAATCGTCGCTTGTGTTGAGGGTTTGCATGGCTGTCATCTTGTAGGCAAGGGCGTTTTTCCACAGCGTTTGCACAAAGGAGGTTTCCCTGAGGCCCAAAAGAGCTTCCCTGCAAGCTGGCTACCACGCAAGGCCTCTTTACCAATAAACGAATCTGCAAGTGCATGTGTCCAAATCCAACCCTCTGAACTTCCTAGGACGCGCATTGCTACCCATGATCTTACAACAGCAGTTTCCTGGTTCGAAGGGGTTTCATTTTCTTTCAGTCTACCCAGCTCATTTTTTACCGAGTGTCGTGGGTGGCAATTAACCCTATAGGGTGAAGTAAGGTTCCATCAAGAAGATCAAATTCATCAGTAGTCGAATTTTCTGGACTTCAGCTTAAATTAGTAGGATACTCTGAATCCCAGTGTCGTACTTAAAATATCAAATTATTTTCCCATCAAGGCCATTCTTGTCATTGCTCGCTATCAATTTTTAGTCTGTTTGGATTTTGTTTTAAAGGCGAGATGACCCGCTGGCAATATAAGGGCAAGCTGTCCAAGAAGCTCAAAGGAACGGGGGACACACTGCAAGGAGTGACAGGTGTCTTACCCTCAGCAGGTGGGGGACTGGTTATCGCTACTCAATACGGTCTTCAATGCTTCTCATCAAACTTCACCTCCATCTCGATCAAAGAGGATTCGGACCTGTCTCAGGATAACATCATCAGTATTACCAACCATCCCAACTGCGACTTGCTCATTGTTGGCCTAGAGACAGGAGGGCTGGTCTTTGTTAACGTGCTGACCGGTAAGACCAAGTCGGTGTTCCCGAACGAGATAGATCCCGACTCCCAGTTTAGCACCTCTGAGATTGCTGTCGATGACGTCGGTACAATCTTTGCCGGGCCAAGAAACGACAGGTCCATCTTCATGATGGAGACATGCACCACCTACGTCAAGAAGTTCCGAATCGACATCAACCTGGTGAGCCTCACAGCTTACGGCTCCAAGCACGTCTTTGTCAGCAACGGCAAGGATACTATTAAAAAATACCACTTCAAAAGAGCAAAGGGCGGTTACGACATGCTCAAATTCAAGAACTGGATCAGTGTCTATCCCATCGGAAACTTTGGGATCAAACGAATAACTGTTCACGCCGGACTACTGTACGCCGTGAATGGGTATGATACTGGCTGCAGAATACTGCAGTACGATGTGGAAACCTTTGACATCCTCCAGACATTTTGTACAAATCTGTGTGATCTGCAAGGACTGTGTTTCTTCGGAGAATTCAAAGTGGCCTTGTACGAAACCAACTCCGTTAAAATATACGAGAAGAGGGAGGCCGATGAACTTGATAACTATGTTCTTGTCTGAAGGATGGAAGACATAAAACGTCAAACAGTGCCAGCACATTGTCAGAATGTGCAGCAGAGAATAAGAATTTTAATACATATACTAACAGGGACAACACCAACAACAGTATTGGTAAGATACTTTTAATGTGGACAGCAACAACAATGACGAAAGCATCGATTAAAATAATCAAGAGCAATAGCGTATCGTCTGTTGTCACTTCTATGTGCAAAAGTGGCGGACAAATCAATCCTCGATCCACATTAGAGAAATCAAACCACAGTTCAAGTCGCCGGCCAAGTGGAACGATGTAAGGTTCCAAGAGATGTGTTAGGTTTTCCTTACGAAACGTTGAATATACCGTGTTTATTTCCAACTGAGGAAATGCTCATGCTTGTTCTCAATCGTGTACTTCTTTGGTTTCATTATGTTGAGTAGTAGTTTCGAATATAAATCTACTGGAAGCAAACCAGCCAAAGTAAGCTTCTTTTCGTCTGTTTTTTATTTGTTTAAATCCATGAGCAAAGGTTTTGACTGCACGGGGGTGTTATTTAGCTCGGGTCAACCTTCCTGATGTAGGCCTACTCTTTGACACTGTTAGATTAATCAAAATCAAATTATAGTTTCTTTGAACCAGTTATTTTTCACTTTTCCTCACCCTAACCCCGCGATTTCCGACCGTGTTGATCAAGGGCACCATGGATTTATTCGGAACTCGAGTCCCGGAGTTTTTCGTCATATTATTAGTTTTTTTTCCTGAATGTTTCCACATGTTTCCAAAACCCTGTCAGCCACAATGACACGGAGTGTCTGTTAGGACGCCATAGTCTTCCTGTAAAAAAATCACCGTGCATTTAATAAAAGGCCTGAGTGTTGGTATGTCAGGAAAGATGAACCCAACTGAGTCATGAGGAAGTAACAGGTAACATTTCATCGAAGTGACATGTGTATTTACAGCAGAAAGTAACCAGTAAACCATAATCACGTTTATGTATTGACAGACTGAAAGGGGAAGTACTTGCTACTTCATTTGAGTCATCAGTGCATTTGGTTTTTATTATATTCATGTGCTAAGGTTTATGTCCATAGGTGCTGGTCTCAGATCGGATCAGCCCGAAAACATTAAAGGGATTTCTTTTATAAAGTAGGATGAAATATTCTTAGGCTGTAATATAAAAAAGTGGATTAATTGCCGTAACTGCAAGGTTTTAAATCGCTGAGATCGTTACGCTTGTTTGTAGTATATTTTGCTTTGGTTTTGAGTGATGTCTCTTCATTGGCAAACAGCGCTTCTAAACTGAAGTAAAATGGACCTTTAGATTTCCTGAATTTGACTGTATGCATGCACTGAATACGCTGGTGCGATTTTATAAACTGAAGAAATTGTTCTGTTAAGTGATCATTGAGAATCTGTTTTGTTTGATCTTTTTAATGTAGACAAATAATTTTGGTATAGTTTAAAGTGTCTGAACCAATATGACTTTTGACAGTTCTAGGCATCCAAACACGTTGTATCTCAGTGCCTGTGTGTAGTCAATTCTGTACAATTTTTGAAAGAGGACTTGTTCATTGATTATTACGGCAGATAGAATTCAAAGTTTTTTATGTGGTAGATCAGTTTTTTGATGAATTTGATATAGATTGCTTTGTACAGTTTGGAAAGTAGACAGTGTGGTGTTGTTACAGCAAGTGTGAGAGAGGAAGTGTTTATTAGTGTCTAAAGAGTGTTTTCAATTGTGTGAATCGATCACAAATTTCTACACGTGACTCATGGAGCGCTTTTAACTTGCCTTGGATATAAATAACGAGAATGCATTTCCTGAACTGCACAGAAAGTGAAATGTACACGGAAAGATTCGATTGCCATGCCAATGACAGATGTGATACAAACAGCTGCCTGAAACTGCAGTAGAATATTTTTGATGCGTTCCATTCTGTTATAAAACGTGAACAAGGCAGAAGCTTTCAACATCCTTGCTACTGTGAATTTAACTCACACCTTTTCGACGTCTCGCCCCCGCCATGGCAGATTTCGCCTGTTCCGCAAGTATGATTTTCGTGGTTGGCCTGATTATGGGTAAGTATCACGTGTTTGTGGCTCATGTTGTAGCCTTTTAAGAATGGAAAAGAGCACTTCAAACAGATTTACTATGACAACCATTTAGGTCACAAGAGGAACAATTTAATAGCAGACCGGGGTGGAATGCGATCTCTAAACCTTTCTTACCTTGTTGGATGGAATCTTTTCGGGGGGGGGTGTAAGGTGGGATGTGTTTGTGAAAGTGCTAATTCAATATGTTGCTCTCTCTATGTTTGGTATTCCTCCGTGCCATGCCTGAGATTTCAAAGGAAAAAAACATTTAGTACTTCATGTAACAAGCCGGCCACTGATCGGCGTCGCTTCTAGGCGATAAAAGTAAACAGACCTTGCAAAATATTTGTAAAATGTCTCCATTTCTATAGACACTGAATCGTTGGATTTTATGGGTGTATGACGATAACGTCGGGGAAAGTCCATGAGAAATCTATCGGGGAAATAAATGCAAGTTTTGCTGGATAACTTTAAAGGAAATTTAGACTTTCAGTGTATTGGCTCCTTTTTGCATGGCAGGTGCATTTCTGCCGCGCTCCTACAGTCTGCAGGGACCGAAATCAGAAGGTTAGAATCAGTTTGAATTCGAACAAAAGTTTCTTTACTGTGGATATGTCGGACTTCGCTTTACCGGTACTTATTTAGGCCTATTTACTTATTGTTTGATTTTTTTTGGGGGGGCTGTTGTTTTTCTTGGTTTTGTTTGATTGCTTTTTTGGAAGTTTAATCACACTCATGGGTGGATTGGATAAATAATTATTATTTATTTTGTTTTAGAAATCCTTTCCCATCGGGGTGATGTATAAAGCCCGGATTTCACCTCAACCCCCAGAACGGCTATCAAAGGTTACATTAAAAAATCCAAATGCTCACCCAACAAGTTTTCCCATCACCCGAAAATGGTGTCCGTAATGTGCTCATTTAAAAGGAGGAACTGAATTGAAAGATTATGGATTTTTTTTTCGTTTCTTAAAGTTAAGGTTTTACTTATGAACATTTTTGAAATGTTCGGAAATAGTGTGTCAGCCGTCGTCAAACACCTAAGGATAGGTCACAATTCAGCTCAGGAACTTCACATTTATGTCAATAATGAGGCTGATTTCTTAATGATTAATTTTACAGGGTCTTGCGAATTGAACCTGTCTATGAATGCATCGGTCCTTGTGGAAGGGGAACCCGTACAGTTCGTGTGTTCTCCAGGGAAGAACTGTGAGGGAGTTTCATCCATACGTTGGTTCCTCAATGGTAGCAGGCCGTCAGAAGGTACCAGTGATTTTGAGGAGACCACGTGGTCCTCAAGCAATTTCAACCTCGTTCCCCACAGGAACCTGTCAGGATTACTACTAGAATGCCGAATGCTCTTAGACGGAGTGATTCGACCATTCGTAAGGAGCATGATATTGGATGTAGCATGTAAGTACACTTCATGTCCCGAGGGAAGCTGTTCGCAACATGTTCTGTTCTTATCGTTCCGCGGCGCCTGTTTCCCCCTCGTTGAACCCCAGATGTCAAACCAGTTGTAAATCAACTGCATTTTTCCCTGCTCTGCCTTATTTTAACCACAGGCTAAAAATACACCTTGAGTCGCACGAGATCATTAATACATCAAAACTTAGCATTCAGTTCAAAAAGTCATGTCCTCTCTCCATATTACCTGAAGCTACTTCCTGATGGGGTCACTTCGCTGCTGAATGTTGCGAGTGGAGTGACTTCAAATAATACATTAGCCGAGCTCATCAAGAATGGGTGAATAGTTTTAGATTCTTCCCCATGAACAACAATAACACAACAAATTTGACCCCTAAATCGTCAATTTGAAGTTTCTGTGTTCAGGTTCAGTGTTACTCTAAATAAAGATTCACCTTCAACTCAAGTCATTTTTTCGTATGTACCACTTTCAAAGTTTTTACAGTCGTCTACATTTGTATCTCCATTTTCTTGTTAGTTCCACCACGAAGTGCTGGTGTTACGGTTAGCAACGGCTCTCTGAACTGCAGTGGTACATGTCATATGAAGGTCAACTTATCACAGACGTACGAGTTCAGTTGCCAAACTCTAGACTCCAATCCAGCCTGCATAGTCGAATGGACACTCCAAAATCCCTCGGCGCGCCTACCAACGCATTCACCCTCAAAGGATTTGAAGACCTCGGCTGTAAGCTGGAGGCAGAAGCAGGGGTGGGATTCTACAAGCACACTCAGGTTGACGGCTCTGCCTGACTTCCAACGGAGGAGCTTGGTTTGTAGCATCTCCCATCCGGACAATCTAACAATGTTCAGAGAAATTAGAGTGGTTCTTCTTGTCAATACAGGTAATCAGCCCGCAGCATATCCAGGAAAGTGTAATGAACTTTTGTTAAAGTCGAAAGACTTTTGAGTTTCAGAAGACTCGAGAACAACACCTATATATTTTTGATTTTGCTATTGTGTACTGATCATGGACGTTGGACCTCCATGCTAAAAGAGCGCCCCCAGGTTTTAGCTGTACGTTGACTTCGTGCTTGGGAAATCAATATGACTTTTCTTAAGGATAAAAGTCAGATTCGAACAAGCAGGAAGGCTCGATAATACGTATTATCCAAATAAATAAATATGCTGAAAAACGTAAACCACGAGGAGAAAAATGTTCAGATAAAGCTTACTTTTCATTCAGCCACAGGAACGTCGTAGGCCCTATCTCAAAATTTGGCAATATTTTGTAGTAGCCCGGGCGGCTATTTTAATTAATATCTGCAAAAGCCAGTACCGTACACTATTTGTACGCTTGAGCTATCCTGAACTTTATCCCCAGGATCCGTGGACGCCAGCATCATAATCATTGTTGGATGTTGGCTCGCTTTCGTAATCGTCTGCTTGATCCTTGCGTATGCTGTCAAAAGTGCTTGGGTGCATGAGAAGGGGAGGCGATACCGTCTCAACTCAGACCAGCCATCGGCTGTTCAAGAAAAGGTACATCAAGGCCTGACCCAATCTTTGCCTCGCATCCTGCCTCGGCCCACGGCTATCCAGCCACCTTTAGAGAGGTCTACACCCAACCAGGACAGTCTGAACCAAGTTGAATCATTTTTAAATTACCTAAACTCAGTCCAATCACAATAGCTGCAAGGGTAAATACAGAGCTGGGGGGGAACCGGTTTAGGGGAGCCCAGCAAATTTAGGAATTTTTCATGTAACCTTTTAAGGCCTTTTTTTAGGGGCGAGGCTACGCTATTTGAAGGATGGGAAATGAAATAAACCAAACCTGTCGCCGTCCTCTCACCATTTTTCAACAGAAATGAGGGAGATGTCCCTTTGTTTGGGGAGATAGCTCCTGTTACCCCGTTAGATCCGTCCTTGAAATAGCAAATTAATTGGATGATCATAATCTTTCAGAATGACGAGTCATCTGAGGTTATGGAGGCCCTGATAGAGCTAGAGGGGCCTCGAACGGCTCGAGGAGTTCTTTGGGACAAGGTTACCATTCTCAACAAGATTGGAGAAGGGGCGTTTGGTGTGGTTTACAAAGCAAATGCCGATGGAATTATTCAAGAAGGGAAGGTAGAAACAGTTGCTGTGAAAATGATCAAAGGTTAGTTGGATCCTTTAATCGAATCTATACAACTTCAAAGCGAATATTTGATGCCGTTTTCACTGATTCTTTTTTTTGTGGACTATGCCATGTGTCTGCGAAACAACACTCTAATCGAGAGGTTCATTCCTCCAAAGTTGAAATACCTCCATCTCTATAATACTTATTTTAAAATAAAAGCTTTTTCCTTTGGGCTTTATCCCTGGACATTTTTACCGAGCAGTATGTTCTTTTAAACCAGTACTTTGGAAGTCCACAAAAGTTTAGAGAAAAAAAGTCGATAAAAGATCTCCAACATTTCAAATACAATTTTCTCAAAGATCGCTTTGAGTTCACTGAAAACTCGCGTTTTCTCGTGGCTTTAGAATGGGTTCCAGGGTCAAGTATGGTCAGTGACTTCATGAAAGAACTGAACATCTGCAGAACGTTGCAGACACACCCAAATGTTATAACGATGTTGGGTTGTTGCGTTGAAAAAGGTATGTGCATCCTCTCAGGTTTAATGATTGTAGTGATGAGTTGAAGGATTCCTCACAGAATGTGCATATTGGCCTATGAAAGGACGGATCCACGCAAGAAGGGTGCCACGCCCCTCCCGATATGTTTCAATGTGGAAATCACTCATGCAGAGATACCACAGAATTTCATTTATGAATGACCAAACAAAAATCGCCTTTGTAAAAGAGGCATTTGAAGAGCTGAGGCAAAATGTCTTTAACAGTGCACTTAAAACTGTGGAAACATGGCACATGTATCCATGGAAATTTATTTCAATATCGAAAACCGTCATTACTTTGTTCTCAGAGCCATACTGCTTAATATTCGAGTACGCACCCAACGGGAACTTGGCTAAGTTTCTTATGCAGAAGAAGGCAGAGTGGAAGGCCAAACGTCATGGTGCACCAGTCAGCTCGGATCTGATAATTAAGTTCGCATGCCAGATTGCTAATGGTATGCACTATCTGTCATCTGTTAAGGTGAGTTTAAGAATTTGCCCAAGGAGTATTCATTTCAGATCACATGCTACCAACCGCTCATTGTAAAAACTAATATGCATACCTTAGAATACGAATCCTTGATATGTTTTTTAAAACAGGGTTAAAGTTAAAAATACCACTGCGCAATCGTGACAAAAAAAAAACACGGGCGACGCACGGCGGACGACGCACGCATATGTGCTTTCTCCGCACCCAGAACAGGGTTTTTAGTGAGCCTCCAAAAGTTTGCAAAGCGTTGACCAATCACAAGGCGTGAAATACGTCGACCCTTTCCAAACGTGCATAGAGTACCGAAGTGTGACGTCACTGTGAACCAGAAAGTGCAGTGCAAACGAATGGAGTACGCGCGCGTGTTGGTTCACGCGCTGGTTTACGCGTTCACGCCTTTTACACACTAATTGTGCGCGTGACGTATTCACTTCGCTACTCTATTGGGTCGATAGTTTTCGTGCAATGTGATTGGTCAAGGCGTTGCGAACTCTTGACGGCGCACTACTGTAAAACGCCCATACTGGACAAAAGGCGAAGTAAGCTGTAATTTTTGTGCGATTAATTAAGTTACACTGTCACATGAAGAGGCTTAGGACTTCATAGGTGGAATCTACACTGAAACCATCGCCTCAATATCAACATTTACATCATTCAGGGTCCTAGCTCACAACATTTTAATACCACCAAAAGTCTGAGCTCAATATTTGCTTCTTGTTTTCAATACTGAATGAATCTCAGAATACGTATCGTCCCACCAGCATAAGTTCTGCGAGAGCGCATACTTTAAAAGCTCTCATCAAGGTCACGAGGTACGCTAGAAAGAAGTCTAAACGCTGCATATAGGCATGGGGATTCAACCTATGCATCCATGTGCAGAGCGAAATATGTGTTTGGAGGCAAAATTTCTACAACAGAATGCTGGTACCTGGGGTGATTCTTTGAAAGTTAAAAAATGCAATCGTCTATCTAAACACTCTTATTGTGGTGACAACCTAAGTTTTAAATTCACGTGTTATTGATACCTCTCAGTGTAAACGGTGCGGCAGAAATAGAATCTCCTTATCGTGCATCGGCTCCTTCAAAAAGAGCCATCAGTTGGCCCCTGATCTTTGTATAAAGTAACTCTTCAAAGATCCTGTATAAATTTATTTGAACGTCGGAGATCAGAGTACCTGGAGTCGCGCAACCACGAGGACGCTGTATGTTGTGCATGTAATGGAGGTAGATTTCAAACATGACGTACAGGACATTACTGCAATATGGGCGGGGGCACCCTTCACTGAGGAATTACGAAACAGCAAAGTTGATTGGCAAACGTTGCACATGAGTCCCAGAGTACCGTCAGAAGATTTGCAGTTTATTTTGTACTCTGTTTCCATAGTGACCAGTCGCTTCGTTTTTTTTTTTTTTGCATAGAATTATGTCGGTTACAATTAACAGTCTGTGAATGCTACTCTCGACGTCACCTATACACTATGCCCTTGTTATGACATGTTTCTTTGTCGGTGATGGCCTACCGTCGCAGTTCAAAATAGATTTACAGACTAGAAACACCGCCCGACATCAACTACACCAACATTTTAGTTTATCAGCGGTCGCAGCACGCAAATTTTAAATAATAGCCAAAGGTTTATGTGAATATTGGACCCTTGTCTTCAACTGCGATTGAATCGCAAAATTATTGTTGCGTCAGTAGAATTATTTAATACCAGAAAGTTCTTGAAGAGCTTTCGACAAATACGTTCGCAAAACGGAGGGGCGAAGTCCAACATGATTCAAAGAAGAATGCACTTTTGCATGACTTATTTTGATAAAAGCTGCATTAGCGCTGCATCTGGTGAGGAATTAACAACACTGGCGCCGTTACTGCATTCTTTGAAAAAGGATTTTTTCTCTCGTGTCGCCGCTCACTGCAGCCCGACTCTATTGTGAGAAAAATGACTATTGTGACTCAGGTAGCCGACAAGATGGACAAATACTTATGCAATAATGTAAAAGTATTTTTCATTTACATGCGTTTGTACATGCTGCACAGTTTGAGTTCAAGTTTGTGACCAACTGAAGTATGAAGACCGTTTCCCCTTTATGGAGGCGATATGCCAGTCACATTTTATTCAAGTCTTAGTTTAGTCGGCAAAGTAAAGACAAACAAGAAACAGGCATGAGGAAAAAGACCAATGGAATAATCATACAACAATTTTAAAACTATGGATAACTGAAATGAGAGGAGCTTGGAACAGCTGCGTGTGCGCTGTATATCCTTGGAAGATTTTCCTGAAAACACTTTAACACTAAACTCTTGAAAACGACAGCCGACAGTACAGCAGTCCATGTCATCAATTTACGAGTTACAAATTACCTTCATGCTCTCAATGTATGGTTTCAAGCGAAAACTATTTCTGTTAGATCATCCACAGGGACTTGGCTACCCGCAACATCCTCTTGGATGAAAATTTGACTTGTAAAGTCTCAGATTTCGGCTTTTCACGTGATGTCTTCACCCAGAATTTCTACCAGATGTCGTCATCGGTAAGTGATCATTACTATATGCGTAATCGCTATAGCTCCAACGATTACCTTCGTATTTGGGATTGACGATGAACATTTCCAAGTGCATGTACCTTCAGTGGAAAGGAAAAGAATGTGATCAGTCAGTGCATGGCATTACGGCGCCATTACACTGTGCTGCTTGGCCTGGCGCAATTACAGAACGATTTCAGCTGACGGTTTCATCACCGCTACGCGGCTTTCGGAGTTGATGCACTGATGTGTCAAAGGTCTCCGCCTGAGTGTGCTTATAGCTTGGCGTACCGCAATGGATACGAGCTTACCAACAAACAGGGAATTTCGAAACGAAGGAAAATCCATTTTCTAAGCAAGTTCACAGAAGCACTGCAAAGGTCATTATAAGCTAGAAGCGAGTACCGGAATGTTACGATAAAATTAGGTTGAGACATGTTTTGGTTTGTTTTCACCTTTTGTTTTGCTTTTTTTGGGGGGGGGTCTTGAATCAGGGGGCTGTTCCAGTCCGCTGGATGGCTCTAGAATCCATCGTCGACGATATTTACACCACCAAGAGTGACGTGTGGTCTTATGGGATCCTGGTATGGGAGATGATCACCATGGGTAAGGAAACTTGAGTGTCTGTCCAACCATTAGGCTATAATATGACATTCATGCATCAAAGTCCGGGATCCTTCTCCCCTTCCAAAATGAGAACAGTTAGGCAAAGAAAAGTGCGGCGATCTAAGAATGAAATTCTACACCAAGATAAAGAAGCCATGATGAATGCCTGTGGAAATCTCGAATTCTTAATTTTTTATTGCAATTGTTTATTTTCATCGTTTCAATATTAATTAATATCCAAGTAGTTTCTGTCGAAACTGTATTTCTCATTTCGGTAATAGTCTTTGACATTCATCTTCAAAAGTTCAAAACTTTATTAATTACAAATAACAAGTCGGTTAGTGGTCTTTACAGTGTCAATTGCTGCATTGTTCACCAATTCTTAATGAAACATGACAAAGGAAATTCTCAATAAGCGTCATTTGACCATGGACCCGTCTTTCTGAATACTGCAGGAACCCATCCTTACCCTGGGATCAAGGTCACAGACCTCATTGACGCTCTAAAAGACGGCAGACGTTTGCCCAAACCCTCTTACTGTGGTGGCGAACTGTGAGTTTTGATAACATTACTCGGACCTCTCAGTCATGCAACAGCGCGCTCAAGGCGAGCCATGCAGCTGTCGATCCTCTGTCCTTTTTTTTCAGTTTATTTTCAATACTGAAGCGTTCTAAAGATTCTTTATATTTAGTTTCTCATGTCAGGTATGCGAATACCTGATGGAATTGCGCAATCAGGGATATACTTTTAATATAATCCGTGAATGAGGCACGCACAAAGTTAATAGAGCAGATCATAATTGCATGGACTCAGAGGCCAGGCAGAGATTGCGAAATTATATGACGTGCTTTTGTTTCAACTTGGGGTTTTCACCGACTTGCGAAATATCTAAGACTACCGGCAAGGAAAACGATGCATATAATATTATAAGGCCTATACACGCGCTGTCGGAACATGTCGCGGGTTCGGTAGCTCTTTTGTTCAACTATGAATGTCCTCCTGTCGATGACGAGAAGAAAAGCTTTTATTTTTTGTGGTTGGGTTCAACAGACTTTCGCACAAATAAACGTTGCTGTGTATATTACATTCGAAGTAGGTCCTCATCGCATATGTTCTTTATACAACTGTACAAAAATTCTAAAAACGTCCGCCCCGACGAGAACATGCCAGGTCGGTGCGATTGGCCGATCTGCAAGATAGCCCGATCGACCACAGCGGCATTATCGTTGAATCATGCCATAAGATCGAGCGATGGCGCGAACGATCCTACCCAACATCCACACTACCAGTTCCAATTAGATTTACAGACCTATTGTTCACCTTTAGCACTTGTGTCTTTGTGCGCAGATATAAAATAATGAAGGAATGCTGGCATCCGACACCGACCTGTCGTCCGGACTTTGCGGATATCTTGCAGACAGTTGAGTCTATGTCTAGTGACCCAACAGTACGTTGTGCACTAACCCTTTGTACCGTGCTTGAGACTGTGTTATGTAAAGCGCATTCGGGAGGTTTTTCAATGCTGGTTGTTCACAAACTACTCTCTGATGAAAACTTTCATTTAGGTTTACTACCAGAAAATATTGTTTGTCAGTTTTCACTGCATTAAATTGCAGTATAATTTGAAAGTAAAACCAAAAACACAGCATGGTACACGGTGCATTAATCATTTTCTTAACTTTTGAATTTCAACTCAGGGAAACCTTAGTCTATCTCATTTCAGGCGCTCGTTTTAACCTTACGGCAGAAATTCACTCCAGATTGTGTCATGAATTCTTTGTCTTCTTTTGTTTTCCTGCACAGGAATATCTTCAAATGACAAAATTCACACCAGATTACGACGGTTACCAGTGAAAGGAAGCACAGTGATCACAGATCATCAGTCATCAATTTCGGTCCCCTTTCACGTGTCGTTGCTCAACGAAGCACATCAAAATTAAAGTTCTGGAGACAGGGAATTGTTAGTGTCATCCAAAAAACTTTTTTTTCACGAACACAAAATACATCTTGTACACATACATAGCTGGTACAAATAAATTAAATGGAATTTAAACGTTTGGATTAAGTAATCATGAAACACATTTTTTAATTATTGTGAGGGTTCCTTTGGGAGCACCGTACATTGTTTACTCTTGCGTTACTATGGTTATCTTACTCGTGTGTCTTGCTTGTACTCCAGGTATTAACGTTTATAGTCCGGTCATTTTAATGCATGTATCACCACTCTCGCGATTCTATAATGCCAAAACTCTTTTCAAAATAGGAGGGTTATTCATTTCTCAGGAAACGTATACGCTTACAGTTTGGGTCTCACCCACAATGTAACAGGTCCGGGGGGGGGTGGGGGGTGGCTGAAGAGGGCCAACGAAAGCAGCTGGCCACTTTTACGGCAAAAACCATGATTGGTGTTCTTTTTGTGCTTCACCCCTCCCTGATTGGTTCTGTGGCGGACGGTGCGGAGGGTAAGTAAGAATTTCGGGGACAAATAGCACAACACGCTGGCGAATGGATGTGACCTGTAGAGCGTCAACTTATCCATCTTGAGCAGAATCATCGCTTCCTATCAGTTGAAAAGAGCCAAGTTGCTCGGTAGTGTTCCTTTTGGTGGTATATAGCGATGCGATTGTAACGTATGCATTTTACAGCCGTGTTTGAGTCAGCAAAGGGCAGTTCCGGCCACAGGAGCGTCCGTTGTAGGAATGTTTCGCGTTATCTATTTTATTCGGGCCCAGATCTCTGTGGGACACTGGGTGTCAGTTTCTCTTATCTATTCAGGGTTGTTTTGAAATGCTTTCTTTGAATAAAAAGTAGCCTACTTTGATAAATGTTCCGTGTGCCATCATCGCTCGCTGTTTGCTTCGTATTAGTACGCGAGTGGTTGTTTACACAGTACTGGCAGGTGCGTTGCACCAGCGGCTGACTGACAGAATAGAGTTACTCCCAGATACTCAATCCTGGCGTTCGGTAAATTGGAGATTAAAGATAAAGAATGTGTGGTGTTGCTATAATATTTTGATTATTTTGAATATTGATTTTTAAGTGGAATTATTACGAACTACATGGAAATCAAGAAGTGCAGTTTTAGAGATCATGTACTTGATGATTCAAGAAAAAGTAAACCCCAGTGTAAGGTGATTGTTCACCGAAATCTTGCAATCCAGAAAAATTGTATTGATCTATTCTCGTGTTGATGAGTAGGGTGTCTGGCTATAATCCTGAAAATTGGATCTCAAGATATCGCCCAATACAGATGGCTATTTGTCTGCACAGGCTGGAGATTCATAGCTCATAAATTGAATTTTACATGCCTTCGTTGTGTTCAATCATGCTTATGAGCAACGAAGCTCCTGCCAGAGCGGACAGCCATCTGTAATGGGTGATATCTTCTGATCCAATTAATCAAGATCAACTGGTATCCTTCTTTCCGGATAATTATTGCTAAACACCCTACTCATCAACAGGCAAATACAAATTCTCTGAATTTCAGGATGTGGGGGAACAATCACCTTAAACTTTGATTTACTTCTTTTTTTAGCTACCCGGTAAAATCCCAGAACTACTCTCCTTGTAAACTGGCTAAGCTTGTATTGCTGCCACATGGTAAAATTAGATTCCTATAACTTTGTGGCAAGCACAATTTAATTAATCAGTAAGACCATTCAAATAAACAAATTTATAAACCGTACCCGTTTGTTGTCCTGCTATCCTAAATTTCTTTATTTAGCGACATCATTATATTATCAAACAGTCAAGTAACTATTCTTGACACTCGTAAAGCAGAGTTAGCACAGGACAGTTGACGAAACAACGTTGAAGCCGGTTCCCAGGTGGTTTCTCTTTGTGGTAATAAGCTACAGTACGTCAACATTTACAAATGAAAGCAACGACAAAGATACAACAATTGACCCAAGACTGAATAGCGTGATTAACAGCGGCTACAATATGTTGAACCTGTGATGTTTATTGATCACACTCACTTATGCTGCAACACTTCGGAGCGATCACAGCATGAGGCTATCAAATTTAAAACATTTTCATAGCTCCATGACGCAGGTAGATCGCATCAGGGCCGCCATGAGATAAAAATCTGTTTGAATTTACTTTTGAGAAAACGAAATAATAAGATAATTATGGCAGTGAAGAAGTGAGCATATCAAATTTCTTGAAAAGGTCTCTAAAATCAGTTTTCAGAGAGGGGCAAAATCACAGCACAAAAATTTCATATTTTTCAAATGACACGATAGCCAAGGGATACAGGCTAACCCTCCTCCCAAAATCGAGTTTGAGCTGCCTGATCTTTTTGGTTTTCAGTTTCAATATTTTGCCTGAGGCTGCCTTGTCTATAAAGATGGTCTGTGGAGACGGTCCTGGCGGCTGTTGTCCAGGTTTCTGATAACAGACGGGATGTCTATAAGTATAACATTCAGTAAAAACAAATTAAGAATCTGAACAACAATCGCTAACAGAAAATAAAAATTTCAAGAACAAGTCGAAACGCCGCGGGCGACCGTAAAAAAGTAGGCGTGGGGTCTATGTCACAATCATGCGCAAAAACACAAGGCTGCACGCACAGAGCACGTGGGTAACCTTTGAAGGCTGCGGAGCCTACCCGTCTACCAACACACGTGGGTATTGTGAACGCGATTGTCACACACAACGGCTTGGCAAGTGTGCAACAGCCTGAACGGTATCTCTACACTGCCTGGAATTTGCATTAGAAAAGTGTACGAGAGTCATCATGGAAGGTGCTAAATTGAGATTGCCGCTAATACTCGTCAGCCTGACAACCCTCTCACATGGAAGACATATAGGTGAGCAAATGTTTTTATTCGGTTTGTTATTTATTTTGTTTTCCTGGTGGTGTCTTAGCGGCAAAGATCCGTCCTGGATAAGTTATGCGCCAGCTAGTACGTCGCACGTTTAAAGCACATTAAGTGCATGCCTATTCTTTATGAACTACCCATCAACAATATGAAAGGTGGGGAGAAACAACAATTTTTTAAAGTCTTGGATCTCGGGGGATTTTCGCCTGTGGTCAATCAATTTTCGTTTTTACTGTCTGCTTGGGAATTGCATGCTTAGGTTGGAGTTAAGCGTTATAGTGTGCTCTGTGTCGAGAATTATCTTCATTGAAAATTCTATGACATTACCACAGTTCTTTCTGCGCTAATTTAATTTCGTGATTTCGGTCCCTGCAGATTCTAAAGAAGCACTGTATACTCACACCCACCAGGCCTATCTACAGAGAGGCTTTACCCAAGATGTCAGGTGTCTTACGAGATTGGGAAATAACGAGCGAGTTCGATCAGTAACCTGGCTAGAATTAGGTGGACTGTACCCAGTACAGATCGCCCGGTACGTCATTCCTGGATTGGGTACTAATTATACAAGAGACCATCACTATGGACTGACGGAAACATACAGTCTAGTCATTGGAGAAGCTAGAATAAATGACAGTGGGTTCTACGGATGCAGGGTAACACTTCGCACCGGACAAGCCCTCGACCCATATGAAATTACCATAACCGTCGTGGGTGAGTTTGTTTTTGTGCTTAATAATATTTTGTTTTCTTGACTTGTGTGGGTGTTTCCATTTGGCTTAATTGCTCACCAAAAATTGGGGAAAAAATACTTATTTTCATGCAACAAAGCATGATGGTTCCTTGTTCTGAAGACCAGCGGTTGTTAAAAAGATTTCCGTAAAGGCATTTGCAAAACAAAATAATAACTTCAACAAAACCGGTGAAATGTGTAAGAGGACCAAGATACCGACTAGTTTCCAAAAACACAGTTACAATTTCCATACAGATTTTAATACCGTGATTGCATAATTTACTTGTACCAACATTGCGTTCATTGAAAGTCCTTGCAAACGAATCAGATGTGCTTGGAACCTACAACCTAAAGATGCATGTCTAATTAGGCATTTGTGCGAAATATATATTTCGTAGACAAGTCTCAACTCTAAGATTACGTCAATGTAAAAGTCTTTTTGATAGAATAATTCATTGTGATTTTTAAAGATTTTGCTCTGCCGTGTTAGCAATGCATGGGTGCCCAATAGTTAACCGAACAATTTTAAATTTTTTTTTAACTTAGCCTGCTTTCTATGCGCCATCAGATCATATTAGTGTATACGTCTGAGGTTTTACGGTCCAAAATTTCACATGATTACAAATGTCCCTAGGGCACTGTTTACACAGGTAAACCACTTCACTTATGAAAAAAGGACAAAATTTGCTCTTTTGCGATTACTTTTGTTCCAGATACGACATTCCCTGAAAACCTGGACCCGCAGAATATCACGGGATTTAATCTTCAGCGAGGACAGGAACATGAATTCCAGTGTCCGCTTTCATCCTCCGATCGGTCCAGAAATACCACTGTTTACTGGTGCGAGGACGTCGATGGAGAGACGAGAATCATGGATGTCAAGTTTTCTGACGGGGAAGTGTTGGTAAATAAAAACTACCTTGGGGGCTACG